TTCCTATACATTTGATATACATAGTCTAGAAGTAACTTCACAATATGAAAATATGCCTATGTTTTGACTGGACCTGTCACATGTGGTCAAGTGTGGAATTTCTATCTGCGGCATCATGTTGGTACCTGAAAAGTTCAATTTTTGGAGGATTTTAAACTTTTGGACTGAGGATGCTTTACCTGAATTTGCATTCTTCCCAGAAAATTATATCCTCTTAAATTAACTCAGATCTTAGATGCATTTGATAAACTATTTCCATAATAAAATGAGATGTCATATAATAAAGTCTTTCTAAGGTCAAAATACCAAAAGAGTAGTATTTTAAGGTAATGATTAATACTGTTACATTTCTTCATTATTTATCTTTTGATTTTTCAGATGCAGAGTCTCATTATGTAGCTCAGGTTGGCCTCAGATTTGGTGTGATCCTTCTGCTTCAGCCTCCCAAGTGTTGGGATTATAGAGATTACAGCTGGCTTCTTCTTTATTTCTGAAGCACATGCTCATTAACATTTTCTTGCTACAATCAATTGGTTAGAAGAATCCACATATATTATATGCTACTGTATTACAGAGGAGCAACAGAAAGATACTTTCTCTAATAAAAAAATGGCTCTTTAGCATTAGATTCCATTTTTGGTATTTACAAATAAGACTTTAAAAAAGAGTAATTTTAAGAAGCTTTATTCTCTCTCTCTCTTTTTTTTTTCCTTTGGTAGTGGGGATCAAACTCACAATCTCGTGCTTGCCGGGCAGACACTGTGCTGGAGCTATATCCCCAGCCCCAGAGCTTTATTCTAGCTATTCTTCCCCCACTTTTTTTTTTTTTTCCTATTTTCTTTTTTGTTACCAAAAATCAAACTCAGGGCCTTGCACTTACCAGGCAGACACTGCGCCACTGAGCTATATCTTGGCCTTTCGTTCATTATTATACAGAAAATTTTATCAATAATTTCATGATTACTTTCAAACAGCTCACTGTTACATAACTTTTTCATTCTTACAAGATCAAAATTTTCAAAATCTTATTCTTGTTGCACTATCCAAACATATATGCATTAAAATTAATAAAAAATATGACACTTGGACCAGCTTATTCGTATTAACAAAGAGGTATGTAAAATGCTTTGTGAGGGCTAATGAGACTATTAAAAGAAGGAGCGGTTACGGCAATAGGAAAGAAAAGTTCATTCTGCTGTTTCCATTCCTACACAGGCTCAGTACTGAACATGTTAAACCACACGAGTGAGTGGTTTCTGGTACGGGTGACGGCAGCAGTGGTAGTAGGGCTTGTGGTGAAGTACAGGCGGCTTCCATGAAACACTGACAGACGGCATGGGCTGTGGCTATAGCTCAGGGCTGAGCACTTGCCTAGCAAGTGAGGCCCTAGGTTCCATCCCAGCACAGGGAAAAAAGTTAGAGATGTTGCATTTTTTAGAAACTGAGACAGATAAAGTATGTTCTATTTTCAAATAACTTCTAAATCTCAACTCTCTTATCAGAATACTGTGCCCATTTCTTCTCTTTATTTAAATAGCACATAGAATAAGTCATAAAGTACATTCCACGCCTGTAATTCTAGCACTTGGGAGGTTGAGGCAGGAGGATCTCCATGAGTTTGAGGCTAAGCCTGCACTACGTGGCAAGATCCTGTCTCAATCTTCTTCAAATGCAATTAAGAAAAGAATCTTTAGTTGTCTACAAATATGAGCTTATACGCTTGAATCTCTAAATTTACTTTGAATTGATTCATCTTTTGATACTGAATAGGAACAAAAGCAGAAAATAGAATTTTAATAGCAATTTTAAAGCTTGGTTTTGGGAGTAATTAGTTGATAATTTATGTGTTATATCTAAGCTTAGGCTTGAAAAAATTGGTGAGTTGAGCATGTTAGAACATTTTCAATAATTTTGTTAGTAAGGTGATCTTTCTGAGATAAGATTTCAATCTGCATGAAATTCAGGCTGAATTTAACTCAGTTTGTAGCCCAGGCTGGCCTCAAACTCAGAAATCCTCTTGCCTTAGCCCCCTGAATGCTGGAATTACCAGTGTGTTTAGACAAAACTTTTCCACAATATATTATGAAAATAAAATTAAATAAAGGAGACTGCTTTCAAGAATTTTCTATGGATGAATTTTAACTTATATTAAACATCTGGCCTCTAATTAGTACATGAGAACTTTCTATTGTCATACTGGTATGAAACAAGAATTTATCAAATGCAAGAAGCCAGGCTGCCACCAGGGGCCAGGGGTCCTCTGGAGACCCCTCTTACCCTCAACCCCTGCACAGAAAAGGAGGCCACACCCTAAGGCACCACCACTGCCACCCAGGGAGCAAAAGTCAGCTTCCGACCTGTATCTCACTGGCACCTCAGAAATCGTGGATTGGAGGAACCCAGGTGCCTGGCCCCAATTCCCTGCAGGAAGCACCTCGACTCAGCAACTGGATGATTTGGAAGAACACGGGAAAATGACAAGATAAAGGGGCAAGGTGCAATCTTAGACCCTGGCCCTCTCAGAACAGGTTCAGAAGACACAGACACAAAAGAAATTAAAAGCCACACATCTGAAATGATAGCAACTGAAGTAAATGAACAATTTAGTGATTGTTTAACTTTACATGCCTATATCTGGTGGTCTGAGCAACTATTTAGAGGATAACAATATACAATATAGTAGCTACTGTTGATTTCCTACTGTCTTGGTTCTAAACTCTTATTTTGTTTTGTTTGGTTTTATTCTCTTTAAAATAAAAAAGTCACGTGCTATATAGAAAAGAATTGATCAAATCTCTAGTTATAGTAATTCTATATTTTTAATGAAAATATTACTGAAATTTCACTTGTATTTTACTTAGTTTCATTTGCATCTTGTTTTTTGAAACAAGTCTCACAAAGAAGGCCAGGATACTCTCAAATACATAATCTTCTGCCCTAGCCTCCTGAGCATTGGGATTAGTAGTGTGTGCCACTCTGACACACTCAGGTTTCAGATCCAAATTCTGAGCATCTCTGTGGTACACTGTCTGAATCCTGTCTTAAGATTTACATTTTTTTTCTTTAAATTGTATCTATTTCATTATATTTTCATTTTCCATCATTAGAATTTGATGAGCTGAGTTACCTTTTCTCCAACACTACAAATAATTTCAACTAAATAAAAGGGAAAACCAGACATTTTTACTTTAGCTTTTCTTTAATTATAATTGCATAAAAACTCTTGTTTGAAAAGAATTTAATATTTCATACATTAAAATTATTTTTCATACAAGGGTACACACTGATGAATACAACTTTATTGTTTTCCATTTAAAAATGTTGCCTAATATTCATTCATAACTACAGGAAAGCAGTTTAAATTTTAAAACACAGTCTTATAGAAACTGTCAACAAAGAGATGAGTAAGAGCTCTTATTTTTAAACTTCTAGGAATATTTAAAACTTGCCTCACAACAATCCTGTGAGGTAGGGAATTAACTGCTCTCTGATGACGGCAGATGAAACAGGCTATGAGTATCAGCTTACATATACAGAAGCGGCTACACCTGCAGTCTTAGAAATGCTGGAAAATTAAGATCCTTATTTTTCACTATCTTCATCAGGAGCCAGAGCTATTCTGATTCTAAATAATTTGTTTTTCTTGCTCAAGAGGTTGTAAGTCTTGTGATACTAGTGGAGAAAGTAGTATGGCAACTTGCCAAACAAACACCCCCCCCACAAAAAAAGAAACAAAAAAATGACATGCTGCGTCATTTTTTCTTTTCTACATGAAGATACCTGAAATGTTATCAAGACACACAGCGATTCAAGCAGCTAAGTATTTCTTAAAAATATTAATTCTTTTGATTCCTCAAAGTGAAAACTGCGATGACTTGTTCTTTTAAAAGTCGTTTATTTATTTATTTATTTGCCTTTTTGAAACAGGGTCTCGCTACACAGTTCAAGTTGGCCTTGAATTCACTTTGTATCCAGGTTGGTCTCGAATTTGCAAAGATCCTTCTGCCTCAGTCTTCCAAGTGCTGGGATTACAGGACTGCGCCACCATGCTTGGTGACTGGGTCTTTTTTAAACTACTGTTTTGTCCATGTAAGTTTCTCTTAGGCTGGGACTATTTGCATCTTTTCTTAGAATAAACTGCAGATCCTCTTCTTAAAAACGAAATTATGTTTCCACCAAGTCCCAAAACTAAAAGTGGTCACAGAATTTATCTGCCAAGGAGGACCACAATGGGGAAAAACCCAACTTGGAGAATAGAGTTTCCTTACTTTTATTTTATTTTATTTTAGGGTACCAGGGATCGAATTCATGACCTTGCACTTGCCAGGCAGGTATTTAACCCCAGCCCCAGTTTCCTTACTTTAAAAAAAAAACAAAATAAAAAACAACAACAAAAAAACCCTATTCAGTAGATATCAAGATGCAAGGGAATAAAGAATCCAGCCTTCCCATAAGAAGAAAAATTCATTTAAGCAGATTTTTTAAAGTGTTAAAGTGAAAAAGGGAAAAGAGTCTCTTTAGGTATGTAATGTCTCTTCTCTATTATTTACTGCCCAAGACAACTCTCCTTCTCCAAAATAAAAACCAAACAAAACTAGAATGAAATCAAAATAAAATGTAACAGTATGTCCAGAGCTAGTTCAGGGCTTCACAACTAGCAGATGCTGCAAGTTGTGAGAAGTAAGTCTCCCTTCCTTGTCAGGGAAGCTAGGACTGTGTGATTATAAGTAGTAATACTAGAACAGTTCCCACATTTGAAAGGATGCTGAAAAGAAAGAAATGACTAGCACACAGCAGCAGTGTTTTGGAATTATTTACATCATTTAACAAATTACTAATATTTGTTCCCTACATCTAAAGAGAAATAATCTATTTTTTGTACAGCTCAAGAAACGTGAGGGGGTCTTTTTCATAGTAACTTAGCTTGTAAGTAAAGCATACTCTAGGGCCCAAAATGAAACTAATTACCAAAAAAAAAACTGCTAAAGCACAGGTTCAAATATTTTTTCACAGATACCATTTATTAACAGGCAGTTCCATTAATGTGTAACAGATACCAGTGCAGCTATTAATGAAATCAACCTTCATAACCATGATTAAGATTTCATACTAAGTGTTGAGAATGTTTAATGTTCAAAATAAACAAAAACCAAACTTTTTTGGTGCCCTCAGTAAATGAAATTAAAAACAACTGGATTAATTTATTAGTGACTAAGGCCTTTTAAATGCCCTATGACATGATTAGAGCATCCTTATTATTTCTTGAAGGTTATTATGCAAGTATATTGAATATTCTTTTTAACTACAGGCATTCGGAAACACAACCCATTCTGACAAAGTTGGTAGAATACTATTGACACAAAACAGGTACTGATCACATAATTGATCATTTAAAACAATCATCACCTGGCATTCTCATAGTGCAATAAGAAAAAAAAAAGATGAGTCTTCCTAGGCTGATAGTTGCAGCAGAAATCAGTTATCTGAAATGGATGACTTTTAGTATACTTTTTTTGTTGTTGCTTAATGAGAACATGCCATAGTCATTGGACACTGTCTCAAAACATAAAATAAAAAAGAACTTGGATATATAGCTCAGTATGAAGTCCCTGGGTTCAATTCCCAATACTACAAAAACAAAAACAAAACTCTCAAAAACTCTAGTTTTAAAAAATGTTTCTTTCTTTCTTTCAGTTCTTTTTTTTTTTTGTTTTGTTTTCTGGTACCAGGATTAAACTCATAACCTCGTGTTTGCTATGCAGGTGCTTATGCCACTGAGCCAAACCCCGGAATAATGCCTCTTTCAAATTTCAGGCAGAAAACACATTCTACCCTGTTCTCCATTAGAGAAACTTCACATATTTACACAGACAAAAAGTTAAGAAGCCGGGCTTCTTACACAGAAGAACTTCTTCAACTTTTACACAGAAAAGTTCTTTTAAAACGTAGGAACAGGTATATAGCTCAGTGGCATAGTGCCTGCCTGGAAAGCACATGGTCCTGAACTTTGATTCCTGGTACAAAAAAAAAAAAGACATTTTAATAAATGTCTTTTTATTAAAAGACATTTTAAATATTAAAACACATTTAATTAAAAAACATTTTAATTAAATGTCTTTCTCTCAGTCCAGTTCCCCTTTTCTCAATAAATAATCAATTACCTTTTCAGAATTAAACACTGGCAAGCATACTGCTAAATATGCCAATGCATAATAAAATTGTAAAGCCCCAGCATGTGTTTCAGGGAAAGATGTGAGGGAAGAAATCAGTAACCAATAACCATAAACTCAATGCTAAAAAAATATGAATACAAAAAACTTGTTTATTTAGATAAAAAGGATCTATGAAAAGTACATAACTAACATACTTAACAGTCAGAGTCTGAATATCTTCCCTATAAGACTAGAAATAAGACAGAGATGTCTACTTTTTCCATTTTTGTAATGGAGGTTCTAGCCATAAAAATTAGTCAATAAAAAGTAAAAGACATCTGGACTGAAAATGAAAGAAGTAAAAATATATCTATTTCCAGATAACTTAATTTTGTATATAGAAAATTCTAGGGAATTCATTTAAAAATTATTAAAACTAATAAGTAAGTGAGTTTGTAAGATGCAAGATCACTACAAAAAATCAATTATATTTCTAAATACTAATGGTGAACAAATAATAATGAAATTAAGAAAACAATTCTACTTATAAAAGTATCAAAAATAAGATGCAAATAAAAAGAAAACAAACAAATTGTACTCTGAAAACTAACATGGTTGAAAGCAGTTAAAAAACACTAAATATGGCAAGCGCAAGGTCCTGAGTTTGATTTCTGGTACCAAAAAAAAAAAAGAGAAAGAAACACTAAATAAATGGGAAAATATTCCATGTTCACAATTCAGAAGAGTTTTTATGTGTTCCAACCAGATCTACACTCTTGTCACTTCTACTACATAATGAGTTCAAAGTCAGCCCGAACTACAAAGTGAGACTGTGTCTCAAAAAACAAACAAAACCACAACAACAAAGTAAAACCCAGTAAATGCAATACAAATAACTAACTGGATCTTCCTAGAATTATGATTTTAAACTGGTTATTCTTCAAATTGGTAAACAGTAAAACCTTGGATTGCAAGTAACTTGCTGTGCTAGTGTTTCACATTGTTAATAAATTTTAATTTGATAAACAAGAATTCTTGCAATATGAGTAGAACCTGATGCCAAATGTCACATGATCACAATTGAGACAGTGGCTCCTCCAACCTCTTGCTGTGGCATTGTGGGTGATCCTCTCCCAATAGTAAAAGGTTATAGAAGAGATCTCATCTGCAGAGAAGGAGAGGAATCCTTCACTGCAAATCAGATTAGGAAAATGTGTAAAAATGTGAGAAAATGAAAAATTTTGCAGAAAAGCTCTACTTGAACAAGGCTGTGGCAGTGTGAATGATGAATCTGTTTGACGATGCAATGTTACTTCCCCACAATGTACTCAAAAGGAGGCAAATGAGTTTCACTGGATAGGTTCCTTGTTAAAGATGCACAAAAAGAAAAGGATTCCACTGAGCTGGTAGGTATCAGTGATTCTGTTAGTTACAGTGAAAATCATCCTACACAGTAACTCTCCTCTCTTTTGTCTCCCACATCAGCCATGAAGGTTTTCAAAGGTAACTACAACTTAATTTGTTTTTCTGAATATTTTGTACTTTATTGTATTATTTTACAGTATTTTAATCATTTTATATGCATATTTTGGGACTGTGGAATAAATAATCTGAGTTTTCATTATTTCTTATGAGAAAATTCACTTTGATATACAAGTGCTTTGGATTACAAGCATGTTTCCAGAATAAATTATGCTCCCAAACCAAGGTTTTACTGATAGTATTTCCCACTATTTGATATTCTGGGGGGAGGTAGTACTGAGAATTAAACTTATGACCTTTTGCTTGCTAGGCAGGTTCTTACACTGCTGAGCTGTATTCCCAGCCCAATGCGATATATTTCAATGCTAATTTTCAAATTGGGCCAACCAATATTATATCATATTATGTAATATGTATTTATTATATGTATAATAAATAAATACATTTATTTGCTTAAAAATGTATTAATGAATACAGATCTAAAGTGGCTACAAACTATATGAGATACCAGGAAAAGTAAATAATAATACTTAGTACAGAAGCTGAAAATCTAGTATAGGAGTTTAACAAGGAATAGCAAATGTGAACAATGATAAAAATCAGGATGATAAGTATCTGAAGTGATACAGAACACAGTTTCTTTGAGTTTAGTAGAGAAAGAGCTGCTTCAACCAGCATAGTCTAATGATCAGTATTTCTGCAGAATGCTCTAATTTAGCCATTAGCAAATGTTACTGAACAACATTCTTCTCTGGATTTTCTCCTACACTTCCAAAATGAAGTGACTGATTACATAATAACCAAAGTACTCTCTATTTCTGAAGTTCAAACACTTCCTTTTAGACTTCAACTCAGGGCAGGGTCATAAAAATTAATGATTTGATCAACACTGGCTATATGACCAACCTAAACTATGGATAGAAAATGGTAAACTGATACAAATAAAAGCATGATGGACAGTTATTGCAGTTGCACAGTCATATCTATGTCTTTTACATACTCTGTAAGTAAGGTAGTAATTGAAGAATGACTACTTGCAATACACTTCAATGAACTGTCAGCTTATTTCTGTATGAAATATGAGTTCAGTATATTGTCCCCCAAAAGAAATACCTAACCCCAATCTTCATTTAAACATTTCTCTGTAAGATCTAGAATGGAAAACAGAAAGGTCAAGTCATCTACTCTTCATCTCCCGGTCTCATTTTTCAAAAACTTTAGTATATTTAGATGAACTCTGCATAAGTGCACTTTACTCCAGACCTAACTATCATACATTTGACACATTTGCAGCTTGCCTAGTCTCAGGTTATGTTCACACCTTGATCTTAGCCCTTACTACTAGGCCAAGAGGAAAGACGGACAAGCCCAGTTCAAAGGAAAAGCATTTTTCCCTATATAGGGCTGAACCCTTTGTATCACATGCTCCCCTTCTAATGGAATCCCCACTGTGGTCTGTTATGAACGAAAAGAGAAAAAAGGAATTTTTAAAATCCCTCTACTAGAAGAGATTATAATCAATCTACATTCAATCTCATTGCTGGCAATTGACCACTAATTCCAGTTAGGCAATTTAAAAATGGAAGCTGGGGGCTAGAGATTTACCTCAGCAGCATAAGCACCTGCTTGGCAAGTGCAAGACTGTGTGTTCAATACCCCGTACCGAAAAAAAAAAAAAAAAGGAGGCTGGCAGGTACTTGGAGACAGATGAACATTCTTCTCATGAATAATAATGACAGTAGACTAATTCCCACTAGAAATGCTTAATATTTTCTTAAGTGAAAAATGAGTATGTATTTTTCTTTTTGTAAAAAACGTATAGCACCTGATAATGACTGAAAAAATGCTTTAGCAAAACTTAACATTTCCCTTATAATCTTTAAAAGATTTTAGAAGGAAATAAAGGCATGTACTAAATACTTATGTATAAGATGTAAAGACATATGTACAAATATATATGTATACGACATATATGTTAATTATATGACCACAGCATTTCTTATAAAATGTCACCTACTTACAATTATGTTTAAAAAAATTCCAAAATCTCTAAATTGTCTCCAAGACTCAAAAACTGTCTTTGCCTTCAATTACTTTTGAAAAGTTAACTTAATTTTGAGGTCTGAAGTTAGAGCAATAATATTTAAGCCAATTGGGACTATAATGCTTAAGAAAAATTCCACAGCTTAGTTTTTCTCCTGCAATTATACTAACAATAAATATCCTGTGAAATCAATTCCTAGTTTTATACACAAAGTTTTATCCAAACAAAAGTTATCTACAGAAATTATTTTCACTTTACTTCGTAAGTACAATCTTCTAAGTTTTATTTTGTATCCACGAAAGAGGGAGACAAAATACGACAATGTAGAGTGTAGTACTTCTTTAGCGCTTGTAAGAGCTATTCATTTTTCCCCTGTCATCTTCAAATAGGTACAAACTTAATTCAAGGTAAATACTTTTTAGGTATTTTAATTTAGTTTAAAAATTACAAATATTTTATATATTTTAAGTTTTAAGTTAAAATTTCCAGTGAAAATTAATTTTTGAATTGTACCAAAATTCCTGATCATGGACTTTTCTTTTCTTTTACCAGGGATCAAATCCACTTGCACTTGCCAGGCAGGCACAGTGCCACTGAGCTATATCCCCAGTCCCTGATCACAGTTTTTTTTTTTTTAAAGTATATAGTGGCTTTCTAAAACTTTGATAATGAAATTTTGATAATACAAATTGAGTGAATAAAAAAAACCTTATAACCTTTTATGAAATTGTAATTACGCTCATTTAAAGTAATATCAATTTACTAATAAAAAGATTTGTACATACTTCCTTAAAAGACTACCTGTTGAAAACACAAACACAGGACTTCCGGGAGAACATGGCAGACAAATAACAGCAGCCACACGGAGGCTCTCTGAGATTACCATCTTAGAATCCAGGAGCAGGGCCGTGTGAGGAGTCCCACATGAGGGGAGATGGTACCCTGCCGACCCAAGGAACAAAGTAAGCTGAGAGAAACCAACTGGAAATGCAATACTGATGCTATAACAGGAACAGATAAAATCTCAGTGCGGAAGCTGGATCCTGCGCCATAGGAAGCTGCGATTTGAATGTCCTGCTGCCAATACTGCATCCCAATCTGCACGGCAGGGAGAGAGGCGCACCAAAGCTCTGAGAGTGGGAATCGGCCCAAACAGCGTTGAGAGCGGGATTGGCTCGACCTGCAGTGAGTGAAATGGGGACCCTTTCATAGACTAGGAGGCTCCAACAGAGGACATTCTGGGAACGGGCAGACTAGCCGGAACACAGCCCTGCAGTGACTTTAGTTGCATGTTCCCCTCTCAAGTGGGAGTGGTGGAGAGCGCTTGGCCTGGTGAAGCCGTGGACTAAGATCCTGTAGGCTAGCCCAAACCAGGTCCCTGCGCCTGGCGGTGCACTCTAGCAGTGAAGCCTTCACTAGGTTGATCTGGAGGGATGGGCCCAGCAGAGGCTGCCCAGGTCTGTGTCTCCCTAGTACACTGCAGTGGGCGGGAACACTTAGCCAGCAGATTCAAACAAACTGCCACAGACAAAGAGAAAAAAAAACAAAAACAAACTGAGCCTCCTACATACACTTGTATGGAAGGAACAAAAGTATGGGGAAAGGGAGCAACAAGAAAGGCTCTTCAGTCCCCAATCCTGAGAACACTGATCCAGGAAAGGTAAAAGCAAAAGAGAATGAAGACAGAAAACATGCAATATCAGACACGGCACCTATACATATAAAACGATATCTCCGGAGCCCCATAGACGAGTTCAAAAATGAAGTATTTAATGAAATAAAGCAAGAAATAAGTAGAATAATTAGAGAAATGCTAAGCACCACCCAAGAAAAAACAGATGGTGGAATGGAAGAACAGAAAAAAAGGGGAGAATTGTTTGATGGAGAAAATAAAGAAAACATAGAATACATGAAGCAGGTTCACAGAGATTACCAGGAAACTAAAAACTCTATTGAAAGCTGGCATAACAGCTTGAAAGAAACTAAGGATAGATTATCAGAACTGGAGGACAGATTTGTAAGGTGGGAGCATGAAATGAAAAATTTCTTAAAAATAACAAGACAAACAGCAATAATACAAAGACTAGAAGATGACAAGAGGATCTATAACTTAAGAATTAAGAACATAAAAGAAGAAGTAGGGACTCAAACAAATGAACTACAAAAGTTATTCACAGAAATAATCCAGGAGAATTTCCCTAATTTAGCAAAAGATAAAGATACTCAGATGTATGAGGCATACAGGACCCCAGCCACCTACAACACAAACAGAGCTACACCCAGGCATAGAATAATCAAAATTCCAGAAATCCAATATAAGAACAGAATATTAAAAGCCATCAGAGACAAGAAACAGATCACTTACAAGGGAACACCCATCAGAATTACAGTAGACTTCTTGGCACAAACCATCAAATCATGAAGAGCATGGGGGTAAATAATTCAAGCTTTGAAAGATAATAACCTCCAGCCAAGATTGATATATCCTGCACAACTGTCCCCAGAAATTGATGGAAAAACAAGGTGCTTCCAGGATAAAGAGGAACTAGGGGAATTTGCAACCAGCAATTCAACTCTACAGAGATTATTGCAGGATATTCTAAAAATGAAAAATACCAAGATTCCAGAAACAGTGGCCGAGCAGCCACAATGAATGGAGCAGAAAGTGAAATGAAGAGGACAAACTGACAACTAGTGACAGAAAAAAAGCTCAACAGAAATGAGGCAGAGAAGGTTGGATGGTATGAACAGCCATTTTGGAGAAAACAAGACATCATAATAGCTAGTGCTGATTTAATATCCTCTTGTTTTGGAGTCCCATCAAGCTTTTGTTCTTCTGTCTCCATCGGTTTTAACGTGTTGTATCTTATTGGATTTTATTATAAGTGATAATATAAACAAAAACTTTTATAGACAAGGAGATTATACAGAAACCATTGTTGATTTTCTGTTAGTTGATTCTAAATACCCTGTAATACTGTCACTCTCTTGAATGGTTTTACATTGTCTTGATATGTTTGATGCTACAGTATACGAAGTTATACTCAAAGATTTCAAGGAAAGATACAATACGGTAACTACTTTTATGTTGGGATTATCTTGTGGTGAAACACTATTTTGTTTAAATAGTTATGTTTTGATCTGCGCTGTTTTGTTGTTATGCCCTCTTTTATCTCAATCTCCATTTTATTATTTACTTTTTTATTTTTATCCTTTTAACTAAGGGAAAAATAAATAAAAAATAGCAGAATAATTATTGTAACCCACTTTGATTTTCTATTAACTTGATTTGAAATTCTGTATTGCTCTCACCATCTTGTTTTGACTGATTTTCCTCTATTCTGTTATGCTAGACAGTACTAAGTTTGAAAGTCTAGGCAGAACTATGAAGACAATAAGATCCATTGTGATGCCCATTCTGGTTGATTATTATCTTCTTTTGAAGTCCTCTAATGTCTCCAATGTTTTGGTTTTATTTGTCTTATTCTTTATTGTTTTGTTTAATTTTATTATAACTGATGATATAGGCAATTCTTTTTAAGATAATGAGGCATTATGGTAACCATTGTTGATGACCTTGTATTTTGTTTTTACATTATGTATTATGTCCATCCTTTTGATTTGACTGACTCTGTCCTGGTATGTCACATTTGGTTTTACTTTCTTCAAAAAAAAAGTAATAAGAACTGTGGGAGTAATAAAACCCAAAATGTGTAATTGTCATTGTACAAAAGAAAGGAAAAGAAAGTTCTCTAAAAGATATAATGCATATATATTTAAGTGTATAAGATAGATAACCATATTACTGAATTTTGTTGGATTATTGAACAAAACTGTTTGCAGTCTCACTGTTTGAAAGTCCCCTCTATATGCTTTAATTTTGTAACTTCAACAATTTCTAAGATGACAATATGCAATTAACTAGTGATTTCCTTCTGTTTATTTTTTCTGAAATTCTGTATAACTTGTACCCTTTTTCTTTTTTTTTTTGTTTTTTCTCCTTAAATAAAATTAAAAAAAAAAAAAAAGAAAACACAAACACATGAAATGGCAGAAATATCTCCTGTAAAAGATAAAGTATCTTTAAAATCTATAAAAGCTAGCAGCATCATGAGAATACATAATCTAAACATTAGAAAAATTGAAATATATTCAGTGTTTAAAAGAGCCTATTTTCCATTACAGTAATCAAATTGCTATCAAAATTTATCAGTACAGGGGCTGGGGATTTAGCTCAGCAGCATAAGCACCTGCCTTGCAAGCAGGCAGTCCTGGGTTCGAGCCCTGGTAACGATAAAAAAAAAAAAAATTATCAGTACAAAAATAACTTTGCAACCTGCTAGTTTACATATATCTGTTCGAAAAATGTGACAGCAGTTATTTATCACTATCATTCTGAATATTTGAGAATCACAATACTGTAATGAACAACATGAAAACTTTTAGTTTTCCATATTACATTACATCAACCCTGGACTATGTAGGTTTAAATATTTTGAAAAATCTATTGCTTATTATTTGCAAAAAATAAGTTCGTCCTGGAATTTCACACAGCTGACACTCTAAAGCAAACAACTGTTCCTTGGAAGAGAGGAAAACCTTGCACTCTTCTATTAGTATTTACTTCACGTCTAGTCTAAGACTATCAGCTCAAAGGCTGCCTTAAGACATCTGTGGGTCAGTGTGTATCTATTCAGTCCTAAAAGAGTACTATCATTTAGGTTAGAAATAATTATTAAAGAAAGAAATAGAAATTTTCTATATAACATTTCTCCAAATAAATTAGTAACATTTAATTCTCATGATCTCCCTATTTCACACATTCCTAAACATTTAAAGCATTTAAAGAAGTAACTAAGGTGCCTCATTTCTTTGAGCACTTGCACTCCATCCTTGAGTGTTTCCCATGTTTCTGTCTAAAATCTTCACCTAATAAACCATTCTCTTGCCTCTTTAAAAAAAAGTACATAAGTATTAATTCACTGAAACTTATTCAATGAAACTATCTTTGCATAGTTTTTGATACATAAAACAGTACAATACTTGACTAAAAATTATTGAGCATAATACTTGCACTTAAAATTTAGTTCAGCAGAATAAAAAAATCACAGTAGTAAATGATTCAAAGTAATCTATGATGCTACTGAATTAAATATAAAATGTAACGCTTAAGTTTTTTTAAACTTTAAAATTAAATTTTAAAGAGTATTTGTGGATGAAATTGTATGATTGGGACTTGACATACAGTAAAAGAGTGGTAGAGTAGCAGGTAGCAGTAGAGATGAAGTAATACAGGTCATTTTTAACTGTTACATCTGGGTGATATGTTTATGGGAGTCCATTATGGTATCCTGGTGCATACATATATTTGAAAAATTTTAAAATAAAATATTATAAAGTTATAAAATCTTGCTTATATCTTCCAAATGACATAAGAAAATTTTAAACAAAATAAACTATAACTGCATTACTAAAATTTTTAGAGCTAAATGAAAAAAAAACAAAGCTTCCTTTTGGTATATTAATTAACGCATTAATGAGATGAAAGAATAAAATCTGAATTTTAAGAAGAGTGGAAGTAGGGGCTGGGGATTTAGCTCAGTGGCATAAGCGCCTGCCTTGTAAGCAGGCAGTCGTGAGTTCGATCCTTGGTACTGATAAAAAGGAAAAAGACAAAAAAAAAAAAAAAAAGAAGAGTGGAAGTAGCTGTAATTGCAGTCATTTCATAATGAACTTGATTGACTAGATTACTGTTTCTTATGTACTCAGTATTTTTTAAGTATAGACATTCTTGTGATTTTTTCCTTAATTAGCAGCAAAATGGAATCAACCAGAAAAGACAAACCCTGGCAATAACTTGTTGCTATTCATTCTTTTTCATTAAAACAAGTACTGAGGAAGGAAGACAGACTTTTTCTTTGTTTTTTTTTTTTTTTTTTAAGACAAGGCCTTGCTAGGTAGTTCAAGCTGACTTTGAGCCCACTAGTAGCCCAGGCTGGCCTCAACCTGTGGTGATCCTTTTGCTCAGCCTCCTGTGTGCTGGGAGTGCTGGGCTTACAGGTGCACACCACCCTGCCAGGCTGGTTTTTTGGTTTTTTTTTTTGCCGTACCAGGGATCGAACTCTGACCTGGCACTTACCAGACAAGCACTTGAGCTGCTGAGCTTTCTTTATCCCTGGCTGACTCTTAAGAACATAAGATTTTACTTGTTTTCCTTTGTTATGGGAAAAAAATAATAATATATCCAATTTAAACATGTGAGAGCATAAATTTAAATAAAATTAATCTCAATATTTTTGTTTTTAATTCATGAAACAATGATTATTTGTACATAGGTCTCCCAGGATAGGAACATTTATAAACTTCCTGACACACAGTGGGCTTGTGTTGGGTATTTGACTGAAATATACTACAAGCTGATAGTACATACTAGAGTAAAAATAGCTGAGAGGTTGATTCCAACTTGCTGCTAATGAGCTATGTGACCTAGGACAAGTCACCTAGATTCTGGGATTCAGTCTTCACACATGCCAAAGGCACATGCTTTTAACCTTTAAATTTTACACCATAATCCAGTACACACTACTGAATCAGTTTGCACTCTCTTTTGTGGTGCTGTGATGGAATCCAGGGCACTGAGAATGCTAGGCAAGTGCTACATATCTAGAAACTAGCTGGATATTAATTAATCTAAATAAATTTTCTAAACTTCCGTAGTTAAGGTTTTTTGTTTGTTTGTTTTTTGAGACAGGTTTACTCTGTAGTTTGGCCTGGCTTAAACTCATAACAAACCTCCCAAGCGCTGGGATTACAGGCATGTGCCACCACACTTGGCCTTAAGTATTCTTAAAATAAGAAAAACTATAAGAGTATATAATGTCTTTAACATAATTAAATGTTTAGCAGCTTAAATTAACATGCTAAGCTTTATATTCAAAACTGTCCAATATTTCCAAGGTTAGCCTATAATTATAGTAGTCAAAGTGATTCAAAGTGGTTCTTATTAAACTACTATAAGACTTCCGGGAGAACATGGCGGACAGATAACAGCAACTACCGGAGGCTCTCTGAAAGACTCAGCTCAGAAGCCAGGAATGGTGCGGACTAAGGAGACATAAGCAGGTGGAGATATGCTCTGCTGACTCAGGAACGAACTGGGCTGAGAGAAATCAACTTGGAATGCAGTCCTGGTGCTAAAACAGGAACAGAAAAGCCTAGGTGTGGAGGCTGGACCCCGCGCCATTGTAAGCCGCGATTTGGGTTTCCCGCCGCGCTGCGGCTGGCTGCCTCTACATCAGCTCGGCAAGGAGAGAGATGTGCAGAAGCTCTGAGAACGGCAATCTGCGAACGGCAGGGAGGCGTGCACTGACTTGTGGTGAGGTGAGTGAGAGAAACTGACACTCTACCACAGTTTGACTCCAGCAGAGGACTTTCTGGGCCCGAGCAGTCCTGCGGGAGCAGGGCGCGGTGGCGACTCCAGCCACACATCCCCCTCTCGGACGGGATTGGTGAAAAGCGCCTAGCCTGCGTGATGCTGCCAGCGGACCTGGTAGGCTGTCCCAACCCAGATCCCAGAGCCTGACGGTGGCTGGGAGGGGAGACGTGTAGGCTGCCTGGTCCGTAACTCCCTGGTGCGCAATGGTGAGCGGGAACACCTAACTGGCGCAATTCGAACAGGCTGTGGCTGACTGGGAGAGAAGCTGGGCCTCTTATATAAGCTTGCATATATAAGGAACAGAGAAGAAGAGGCAGCATGGGAAGAGGCAGCAACAAGAAAGGCTCCTCGGCCCCCAATTCTGAGAAACAGGCAATAGCAGACACCGCACCAATACACATAAGGCACCATATAGAGAGCCTCATAGACTAATTCAGGAATGAAGTTATCAACGACCTGAAGCTAGAAGTATGCAGAATAGTTAGAGAAATGCTAAGTACCACCCAAGAAAAAACAGGTGGTGGAATGGAAGAACAGAAAAAGAGGGGAGAATTGCTTGATGGAGAAAACAGAGAAAGCATAGAATACGTGAAGCAGGTTCAAAGGGACTACCAAGATACTAAGAAGTCTATCGAAGACTGGCATAACAACTTGAAAGAAACTAAGGACAGACTATCTGAACTGGAGGGCAGACTTGTAATATGGGAGAATGAAATGAAAAACTTCTTAAAAATAACAAAGAAACAAACAGCAATAATACAAAGACAAGAAGATGAGAAGAGGATCCATAACTTGAGGATTAAGAACATAAAAGAAGAAGTAGGGACACAAACAAGTGAACTACAAAAGCTACTCACAGAAATAATCCAGGAGAATTTTCCTAATTTAGCAAAAGGTAAAGATACTCAGATGTATGAGGCATACAGGACCCCAGCTACCTACAACCCAAACAGAGCAACACCCAGGCATATAATAATAAAAATTCCAGAAATTCAATACAAGAACAGAATATTAAAAGCTGTAAGAGACAAGAAACAGACCACTTACAAGGGAACACCCATCAGAATTACAGCAGATTTCTCTGCACAAACCATCAAATCACGAAGAGCGTGGGGGGAAATAATTCAAGCTTTGAAAGATAATAATCTCCAGCCAAGATTGAGATATCCTGCACAACTGTCCCTGGAAATTGATGGAAAAACAAGGTGCTTCCCAGGATAAAGAGGAACTGGGGGAATTTGCAACCACCAATTCAACTCTACAGAAAGTATTGCAGGATATTCTAAAAAAAGAAAAATACAAAGAACCCAGAAATAGTGGCGGGGAGGCCACAACGAATGGAGCAGAGAACAAAATGAAGAAGACAAACTGACAGCTACTGACAGAAAAAGAGCTCAACAGAAATGAGGCAGAGAAGACTGGATGATAGGAACAGCTATTTTGGAGAAAATGACATCTTAATAGGTAATACTGATTTAGTATCATCTTGTTTTGAAGTCTCATCTAGCTTTTGTCCTTCTGTCTCCAATGGTCTAAATAGGCTGTATCTTACTGGATTTTATTATGTACAATAGTATAAGCAAAAACCTTTTAAAGACAAGGAGTTTATACAGAAACCATTGTTCATTTTCTGTTAGTCGATTCTAAATACTCTGTAATGCTGTCATTCTCTGAATGGTTTTACATTGTTTTGATATACTTAATGCTACAGTATACGAAGTTGTACTCAAGGATTTCAAAGAAAGAGACAATATGGTAACTACTTTTAGGTCAGGGTTATCTGGTGGTGAAACACTATTCTGCTTAAATGGTTATGTTTTGATCTGCGCTGTTTCGTTGTTATGCCCTCTTTTATCTCAATCTCCACTCCATTATTTACTTTTTTATCTTTATCTTTTTAATTAAAGGAAAAAAAATAGCAGGATATATTATAGTAACCCACTTTGACTTTTCATTACCTTGATTTAAAGCCCTGTATTACTCTCACCATCTGGTTTTTAACTGATGTTCCCCTATTCTGTTTTGCTGGATAGTATCAGGTTCGAAAGTTTAGGCATCAGCTGTGAAGATAATGAGATTCATTATGACGCCCATTCTTGTTGACTTTTATCTACTTTTGAAGACCTACAATGTCTCCAATGTTTTGGTCTTGTCGGTTTTATTCTTTACTGTTTTGTTCAATTGTATTATAACTAACGATATAGGCAATTCTATTAGAGATAGCGGGAGGCATTATGGTAACCATTGTTGATCACCTTGTATTATGTTTTTACATTATCTATTATGTCCACCCTTTTGACTTGACCGATTCTGTTCTGTTATGTCACATTTGGTTTTACTCTCTTCCAAAAAAGTATTAAGAACCGTGGGAGCAATGAAACCCAAAATGTGTAATAGTCATGGTACAAAAGAGAGGAAAAGAAAGTGCTCCAAACTATATAACTGCATGTATATTTAAGTGTATAAGATAGAAAATGATATCACAGAGTTTTATTGGATCAATGAACAGAACTGTTTGCAGTATCATTGATGGAATGTCCACTTTACAAGCTTTAATTTTGTGACTTGAACAATTATTTCTAAGATGACAATGTGTAATCCATTAACTAGTGATTTCCTACTGTTCATTTTTTTTTCTGTAAATCTGTATAACTTGTACCCTTTCCCTGCTTTTTTTTTCTTTTCTTCTTAAATAAAATTAAAAAAAAAATAGACTACTATAAAAAGAGAGAAATTTGATGAAGACCAATCCTAGGTAAGTAATACCAAATACTAATGACCAACAAAACAGTAAAACATTTAGAGAATTTCAGGTGAAGAAAATAAACCAGAAATAGTTTTTTTTAAAAGTTAAATTAAAAAGGGTTTATTTATAAATAAATATCACAGTATTCAATGCACAAGGCTCAATTTAGGTGCTAAAGAAATCAAGTATAATTATGTTCACTGGTGTTATTTATTAAATAGATATATTAAATATAACCTAATGGAAAGGGAAGTTTTCCTTCTTTCAATGTAAGTAGTTTAAAAACTGCATGCTAACTACATCACTATGTGTAGTAAAGAATATGATCTTTTGTAAGATTACAAAACAATCTTGGAAAAATAGTTTAACAAATCATGTGAACACAGTCTTCAAGTTAAAATAACTAGAAATTTTGTATTTAGCATGAAGTCCATTATAATTCCAAAATAAGTTTATCTACTTTACTCAGAATTATTCACATTATAACTGGCAAATTAGAATAGCTTTATAGTCAAATAGTTTTCTCTTGTTCATTCCAAAAACCCTTACCTTTTCTTCTTCCTCAGCCTGATCAAGACCCCTCAATGTTAATGTCTAATATGTTTAATTCTGTGCCCTAGTATTCAACAAATTTAAACTAAAGTAGAAATTCTCATAAGAAAGAGAATTTGAAATATCTTACTTTGTAATTTTAGAGCATTTGATTTTTAAAAAGTGGCTAGCCAGAAAAATGTACAACAGAAGAAAACTTTTCTTAATTTTAATTAACACTATTTGGTGAAAGCTTTCAAATAAAAATTAACTTTAAGACAAATTACCTATAGTTTTTTTTTTTTTTAACATTTGCAATATTACAATAGGCCTCTTTATACCCTAAAAACATCACAGTACGGCCAATAATTATTATAACTGGTTTACAACACATTTAGGACAACTATTCCTGAAGACTACCAAATTCTTTTAAAATTCAGAAGCAAGTTAAGCTTTATTTCCCACTGGTACACAAAAATAAATCAACCATTAACATTAACCAGCTTGTACTACAAGGTTCTCTAATTAATTGTTTCCTTCTGTGAAATCACATGGTGAAATCACCCTAATGCTATGGTAAAAATTAATTTTAAAATAGAAAGCCTGTTTTCTAAAAAAATTAAACTTCTACCTTTATAGAACATACAGGAAACTAGAAACCAGTTTAACCCAGGAAGCCTTTAAGGGACAATGTTAAAAAAGAAAGAACTGAACAACAATAAAACAACAACAACAAAAAAGGTAGAAAGGATTTACAGTATTTTGTTTTGCCTACAAGCAGTTTCTCTGTAATTAGTTCAATACACCATATTCCTTCCACACAGATAAAGAGAATGTTTGCTCCAGTCCATCCAGGCAACAATATTCAAATTAATAAAAGAACTCTGACCTGGAATTTTCATTCAAAGTTGTGATTTTGAGAGTGTCTGAAAACCAACCAACTTTCTTATTTATATATCTTACTTAATCATGATTGTGGAAACAAATCTGTACCTATGTGAAAATGGCAATGCGTTCTGAGCTGGCTCAGCCCTTGGCTCTGCGTTCTGGGTCACATCAGGTGTTCTCTCATCATCTGTCCCATTGATACTTTCTGGTGTTAAAGGGGACTGAAGATCTCCGCCTGCCGATTCCTTTAGGAAAAAGAGTGGGGAAGAAAAAACGAGTTACACTTTAGTTCAAGCATACAATGTAATTTTAGGATTAAAACTGACTCTGAAGCAGCCTTTTATATGAAACAAATTACCACGTGTCAGAGACTTAAAGATCTTTGTCTGAGTCTCTCAAGTAGCTGACATGTGCCTATACCCAAGAAGAAACAAGTTTTTGAAGCCAAAGCAATTCACAGGTCAACTGATCTAAATATAATACAACTTAGAAATGGACATGAAATTCATTTTAGGTATGTAGTTTTAAAAAGTTTAAAAACCTTTGGATTAATGTAACTAACTGGTGAAAATAAAACAGTCAAAGAATTACTTTAGAAGAAAAACAAGATGGTACACAAACTCAAGATGTGATTTTCTTTTGAGGAAGGAGTAGATAACGAGAGGGATGCAAGAGAAAAGGAGAGGAATAAGGAAGGCAAAGGGGAGAATGAAATCTGAAAAAAGTTTATATTTTTAAAAAGTTTATAAAATTTTTTAATATACCTTATTTTTCAATTCATAGTTATTCAGAAAAGAAACCAGAAATACCTCTATAATATAGCATACACCAACACTAGTGCATTTCAGCTTGTGTCTAGCACTTGGAAACGGTTTTCTCAGAAAATTTTCCCTTATTTATAGTTGAAACAAGATTTCCCAACACAGTGAATTTACCCTTCTGGACAATACATTAAAATTTTTTTCAATAAATGAAATTTAATATGAACCAGAATGAGCCTTGAACTAGCAATGATTTTCCTGCTTCAGCCTCCTTAGTGTAGGCATTACAGGTATGCACCACTACCTCAGGGATGCTAACCTCAATTATTTTCGATTGTCAGCAGAACCTCTATTTCAACCTTTAATTTCATTCTTACTGTATCTTTCTCCAAAAACCTCTTTGCTTCCATTCACTGGTAGCCAAAGCACAAATAAAACTTATGGTATAATATGGCAAGTCTTCTAGGTATAATATGGCAACAAAAAATTGTTTTAGAACAAAATCAGATTCTACTGGCAAGTGCGAGATTGTGAGTTTGATCCCTGGTACCACAAAAGAAAAGAAAAGAAAAAAAAAAGAATCAGATTTTACTATGTGGATAATGGGAAAGTAATCAACAATGTTACCACTTGGTTAGTCATGGACCACCTTAATTAGTGAGAAAAGATTTAAGAAGCCAGTAAAAAAACCCCAAAAAACAAAAAAAAATGACCTTAACAACTTTCATATGTATAAATGAGGCCTATTTTTTCCACAAGACAGGCCAAACCAAATTAATCAAGGTTGACTTTCTGATCTGCTGAAGAGTTAAGCTAGCCAAGGATTTGACTCAATAAAAATAATAGAAACAAATTAAAAAATCAAAGAGAACTTACGTCTCCTGACCCTCAGTGCTTGTGTTAGGCTCATTCTGACTTAATTCTCTCCATCATAAGATTAGTTTAAGAGTCTTAGTGAGGGAGTGGCTAACTATGCTCAAAATGCCAGATTCTTTTCATTTGAAGCGAGGAATACCAGTATCTCCTAAAAAGTTGTTAGAAATGCAAGCATTTGAGCCCCTCTTAGGCTTGTTAAGTAAGAAATTCTGGCCAGGGACGGTGGCACACACTTATAATCACAGCACTCAGGAGACTGAGGTAGGAGGATTGCTGTGAATTTGAGGCCAGCCTGGGCTACATAGTGAGTTCAAAGCCAGCTGTACCTTCACAGTGAGACCCTGTCTCAAAAAACAAAACAAAACAAAACAAACAAACAAACAAAAAAAAAGACATTCTGGAGAGAAAGACATTCAATGATTTGTATTCGGGCAAGTCTTCTAGGAAATGCTAGTGCAGGTTGCATGCAAACAAGGAATCTATATTTTTCTACATAACTTATGAGTCATATACTATTTAAGGCTATATATCGCTGTCTTCATCATTACAATCATATCACCAATAGTTGTCAATATTTATTGAGCATTTATTGTATGTTAAGCATTCTCTAATCCTCAGTTAATTCTCACAGTAACCTAATAAACACATACTGTTACTTTTCTTCTCTTCCTTTTTCTCTTAAAACATAATGTTCTTCTTCCAATTTTACAGCAGAGAAAAATAGAAATTTACATAAATTCAGAAAACTACTAAGGGATAGAGCCCCTATTATTAACCATGACCTGACACTGACACTGTCAAACTCATTCTTGTTAACAATTCTATAGAATAATGTTGCTCATATACACACTGATATCAACTACTTTCTCATGATCACAGGATTTATGTCAAAGCTGATGTGATTTGTGTTGTACCCTAAGAAAATAGCTTTGTTATATGTGTATTATAGCAAACCTGTATAGGGGCTTACTAAATGTGTTTGTTTTATCCTTTTTCCCTAACTGATATGTTAAGGGACCTAATTGATCTGTTGAGCAACACTCTCCTCTGTAAAGAATTGCAAGAATCTCACCTAATTGATATGTTAACCATTGTTGCTCTCTACAAACTACAGAAGCTGTGCTAAAACAAGCTAACAAGGGTTGTTAATCACTGCTAGGAGCCTCTATTCTCCGCTAAAGAGCTAAGGAAAACTAAAATGGCAATTAATTTACATTTGTTTAAAGTAACCTGCTTGTGTGCAGAGAGATTTGCGTGTGAGTTTAACCCTTTACCCTGACCTTGACACATTACCGCCGTTTTCTGTTCTGTATGGCGCCTTATTGCCTCCCTCTCCCCTCACCTATCTATCTAGGCCATAAAGAATTTGGGTTTCTGGTGACCTCCCCCCGACCCGGTGATGATCTGTTGTAAAATGAGCCTGCCCCAATTTTAAGAACTGCTTAGCTTAAACAAATTACCGGGTAATACTATGGCCCAAACCCCAATCGGTGCTTTCCTTTTGCTCTGTATGTATCAAATGAGTTAGATATCAGGTCTTTGTAAAACTTAAGTTCCAGCCTCTCATAACTTGTAACCCCTTCGCACTCACTAGTGAAGACAAGCTGTCCTGAGATAATTAACTCTCCACTTTCTTCTCCAAATATTGCTGCAGACGTGCCACTCTGAGATAATGTCAGTCTGCAGGATGGGAGTAATTTAAAAAACACCAGAAACTCCCTAGACTGTCAGAGCTAAATAGACAGCAATACAGTTTCCAGACTCGGGTCAACAAGTTTGATGGCTCTACAGGTTTCTTTGTTTCTCTCCCCCCGCCCTTTCCTCCAGCCCCTTTTTAAAGTCCTCCCTTCAGCTTCTAGGGGACGGTCTCCAAATTGGCTCCCGGAGACTGGTCGCCAGGCCTGAAAATAAAGCCTTTGCCACTAAATTTTCGGTCTCTTGCCTCCTTGGATTTTATACCGGGGCTCAAGTTATAACAATTTGAAAACTCATTAACCACTCCCACACAAAGCTTTTGAATTGCAATGCTGGGTACAGAACAAAGGACGTAAAGCATGGTAGATAAAAATGTAGCACTGAGCTACATCTTCAGCTCAAAAACTCATTTGTTATACCTTCCTTAAATAAAAACAAAAACTATGGCAAGTGCATACTGTCACCAATTATTCCACTTAAACAAGTATCTACTATTCTATTGCTGAATTCCTGAGTAAATCTATTTTTTGGGCAGAGCATTAATTCAGCAGATTGAATTAAACTAGCATATTATGAGTAGGAGAGAAGTTGTCAAGGGCCATACAATTCAAATGAAATAGAGATATTACTTTGTCACACAGAGGGGGAAGAAAGGGAGAAGATGAAATAAGTGAAGTAAATATCTTTTGTTACTATTCTCTCTGGCTTCTGTACACTAAACTAACAATCAGATTTTGAATGTTTGAAAAGATAAATTACAGTCCATATATTTTGATTTTCTGCCGAAAGCTGAGCACTTGGTCAAAGAGGATGACCACCACTGATAGAGGAGGAGCATTCCTTGGTCAAGGGCATACGAGTAGCTGTGCTTCCCTGCTAGAACCTCCTAAACAAGCGCTCAAACGTGGATGAATTTAAGATATTTCTTTATTTTTCACAATAATTCCAAAATACAACATAGTTGGGTGTGGTGGCACATGTCTGTAATTTCATATCGCCAGGGGCTGAGAAAGGAGGGATGAAGGCCAGCCTGAAATGCAGAGTGACACCCTGTGTCAAACAGCCAAATAGAAACATTTTTGCTATATTTTTTTGATGAAAATAAAGGCATAATGACATTCCTTCCACCAAGCTGTAGCTAGTATCTTAGGAACCTATAATTGTTTACAACTAATTAAAAATTTAAATTATGATCCGAGAAATGGCAAAGTTTAATCTACTACAATTTTATTGAAATCCTTTGAGTATACTTTTATTGAGTGTGTTGTTTGACTCATCTTATTGTAATGATAAAATTGCCGGAGGAATCAGCACTTCTGAAATGTAGTTAATTATAAATGGACTTCTCCGCTTAAGTCTCACTATACTATCAGAGTGCTCAAAGAATGCAGATTCAAGAGAGGTTTAAAAATAATCATTGACCTCATTTCAGGTCACTGTAAGTACAGAGTTATAATGGAGTTTTGGCTTCACTTCAGAGTAAACCTTCAGTCTGTCACAAAATATGCACTTTAAACTTAAAAAGTCACCCATTTCTACTAAAAAAAAAATCAACTCTTTTCTTGTATTTTACAAGTAGAGTTGGATGCCATGGGTAGGAAGGATAAAGCACAAGTAATTTTCTAAACTGTTCAACCATCTGGCTATATTCAAAGCAATTAATTGGGGGGGGTGGTTACTGGGAATCAAACTCAGGACCTTGACCTTGCCAGGCAGGTGCAGTAGCACTGAGCTAAATCCCCGGCTCCTCCAGGCAATTCTTATTTTCTTTAAGAAAGATCCACATATATCTGCTACTGTTGACATTATTCCAGAGAAACATTTGCAGCACCTGATTCTTTATAAAAGCTGTAGAGTGCACTTTAGAAACGTTACCATAGAATGCACAGAACAAAGCGAGGCCCTGCTCTTCAGACTACACTTGAAATAAAAAATTAATTTTAGGAAGTCTACTATTGAAAAGCTGAATAATCAGCATTCTATATGAATCATACTTTAAAATATTTGTAAAATTACTGAAATGAAACTATTTAGTGAGCTTTATTTAAAAATAGAAAAATTCAGATGGACAGGTTATTAAAGGGAAAATGTGATTGATACTTTTAAAAAATTGACAAACTTTGTGCCTCAATACTAAGCAAAAAGATGTTTTAGCTTTTATATAGTATAACATCATGTAGAACAGACATATATTTATATTTTATAATTTTTTTCTATACTTTATCATGTTTTGACATTTAAAGAACACCTCTGGTCAAGGAGAAACTATTCTCTTCCCAGAGTACCTAATACTTTTTTTTTTCTTTTTCTTTTGAGACAGGGTTTCATTATGCAGGTTAGGCTGGCCTTGAACTCAATGTAGACCAGGTTGGCCTTGAACTCAAGGTGATCCTCCTGCCTTAGCCTCCTGAGTCTGGGATTAAGGTCATACACAACCATGCCCCTCGCCAATTCTTACGGATATCCAGGCCCCATTGTGTTGGAGACCACTACCCAGGGGCTCTGAGCAGGATTTAAAATTAACTAATTGGCTTTTTATGTTTATCAGTGAGTCTGTTTTAGGCCTTGGCCCCTTGCCTGGCAACAGGAGCTGATTCATAGTGAGTGAACATCTATGAATCACTGGTCCTGGCTGAGGCCTATAGTGGCTTGTGAGGCCAGAGATATCTCAAAGGGCAAGATAAGGCCACAGCTGAAGACACCTTGGCTCTAACACTAAGTAAATAGAGACCACAGGTGAAGGAATTTTACTACTGCAGTCTCAATCCTACCATAAATGTCATCTTGGAGATAAGACAGGTCTCCTAAATTGGTGTAATTTACTACTTGAAGAAGTCTTTGAAATGACTCCCAAGGTCCTGCTCATTTCCCACGCTTTCCTCAGTTTCCCTGCCCTTTGTTGTTGGACCTAGTAAGAATGGTAGGTCCAAAAATATCTTTGTCTTAGTCCTCAGAGTCTCAAGCTCAGCTAAAGGGTTTTGACCCTCCTAGAGCCCTAACATCATACCAGTTGCCTCACTTTATTTGAGCCTCTGCTGTACATTTGTTTGGGAGATCAGGGATCTAGGTCAGGACCCGAAACCAATGTAGCACATACCTCTGAAATCCAACTAGCCAGCCCACAGTCACACCTCCTGTCTGGCCTGTATACTTCAGAGACAATATTCCTTTGCCTTAATCACCCAGAGTTGAAATTATTCAAACTGGCAAATCCTAAACTACCTTCACCACCCCTTTACCTTTCCAGTGGAAATTCCACTGTGATTTTTCCTTTACTCCTGCTTTTTGCCTCTGGACCTCCCGAAATGTCCCATGTGGCTCTGCATGGTAACCACGGCCCAGTTTCTAGGATCTGTGAATATACTAACATTTTTGTTTTTCTAAGCCTCTCTTATGGTTGAATTGCCTGACCATCACATAAAAGAATAGGGAACACAAACACAGGCCAATCTGTGAACTTTTGCTTTTAAACTGTTATGTACATTATATATTAAACTGGATTTTTTTTTTTTGGTACTGGAGATCAAACTCACAACTCTGTGCTTGCCCAGCAGGCGTTTGTGCCACTGAGCTAAATCCCTAGCCCTACTAAATTGAATATTTTTAAAAAAATTTTTTTTTCTTTTTTCTTTTTATCGGTACCAGGGATCGAACTCACAACCGCCTGCTTGCAAGGCAGGTGCTTATGCCGCTGAGCTAAATCCCCAGCCCCTGAATATTTTTTTTAAATTCTTTTTTTTTTTTTTTTTGTCTTTTGGAGACAAGGTCTCTGTAGAGTCTAGGCTGGTCTTGAACTCCCACCGATCCTCCTGTAGACACTGACATACAGAAATATTTCTTTACCAAGAAAGATTAACTAACAAGAATAATGTTATGTCCAACTGGAAATTAATTTTGTCATTATTTCCCAAATTTTACTAACTGGTTGTAAAGGATACCATCTAAAATAAACAAGCCTGACAAAAACAGGAGTGAAATACCTACCTGTGAAGGTGTACTGGTAAGTTCCATCTTCTCCTGCGATTTCTCCTTTGCTAGCCGAGCAGCTTCTTTAAATTCCTGAAACTTTTCTGCAAACTGAATGGATAAAGACTGTATATATTAATCAAATAAACAGTCACAGTACCCACCTCTACCTTAGTCTGCTTTCATTTCTGAATAACTGAATCTTATATAAGCAACATAAACTCCAGCGCAACTGTAGCTTGTAACATGAAAATGACAGAAAAAGACATCTAACACCAAACATCGGTTGTCTGTCAAGTACTACAAATCTCACTTAAAACATCAATGTACAGCAAAGAGTTAGATGTCAGAAAGCTTATTTATATACCTCTCTCATGGTTCAGGAATAATTTACTAAGATAAAGGTGGAGGTGGAATCAGTAAAGAGAGGCATACTATGCTTTGTTTATCTGAGAAAACTGAATTTTTCAAAGTACTCAGAAAATGCTGTTAGGTATTATTAACATATAAACACACATAAGGCATTTCATTTTCAGTATTATAAATAGTAACATTTAATAATATCACTGTGTAATTAAAAGTTCATTTGTCAAGATTTCTAAGCAGCTAATGCATAGCTAAACTATTGTTAATTTTTATATCCCTAGTTTTCAGCAACAGAAAAACATAGCTTCAGTTTTTATAAAAACAAGTAACTATAAGAACGCTTGCTCACATCAGTCACCCTAATAATACCATACATTTCTTCATGACGCTGCTGTCTTTGTTTTGAAAGGGTTTATCTACAGTTGCCCTCAGAGCCTTCTCCAAATCCTTGTTCACACATGCTTTGATTCACACATGGTTTTTAATAATATATGCTTGCTTCATTTATGTAAGTGATTTTAAAGTCCTTTGGGCCCCTTAGGTTGCAAAGAAACAAAATTAAGTCTTCAAGATAGTTTGGAATACACATCATCATTTTGTCACATTTGAATCAATACATTCTAATGATACTAATCTAAGCTCTTGGCATCAGCTCCTGTGATTTGGCTCCGAGAGCTTATGCATTGTTTCCCAATATTCAATCTGCTCTCAAACACTACAGTTCATGATAGTAGTAACTGGGTAAAACATACGCTAACTTCAAAAAGGAGGAAAAGTTCTTAAAAATAAAAACCATTCTGGAGGGGAGGGGATCAAATAAGAAATAGCATAATTGACAGAACTGAGTAACTACTACTTTCCTACATTATCTAGCTGCTTAGTAACTTGAAAAATGTAATTAAGATCTTAATTTATATTAAAAAATCTTTGAGCCCCAAAATCATACCATGTAAATCTGATAAATTAATCTATAATTTCTTGTCATAAAATCAAGATACTCTGCACATGAAATATAGTCTTTTCCCTTTCTTTCTGTGTCTTTCTTTTTTGCTATAGGCTTTAATAGAAAATTCCAAAAGAAAAGTTCTAAGAAAGTTCTTAGTAATGCCAAAGGTATAATAAACAGATAATTTTTCAAAGCAATTGTTTATTAAATATCAATGTTCAACTGAATGCCTGTGTTCTTATTACGCTGAGATACTATGAATCTAAAACTCAAACCAGTACCACAATTCAAGATCTATATTCAGAGAAGAAGATATGCATAAAGGAAACCGAATCAAACAACATTCATCTGTTTTTTGGTACTAGAGATTAAAGCTTGGGCCCCACACATGCTAGGCAAGTGCTCTATATTGAGCTGTGTTCTAGTCCACAGGTGTTTGTTTTAATCATCTTACAGAGAATGATTTATATCATAAAGCAAAAATTAAAAGTCATAAAATTGAGTTTTAAATTATTAATTTGTATCAAAAAGATAAAAATACCTGAAAACATCAAGGTTAAGGAATGTTTATAACTAAACTAGAAAAACTCAAAGTAGCTATTTGAACTACTGAACTATACCTAGTTATAACTTCAAGTCAATAAATGTTCACAAAAGTATGAAATTTTTTTAAAGAACTCAGTTTTAAGAACTTGAGTAATTTCTGTAATAGACCTTAAAATTTAATGAAAACAGTAACAGTGTCTATATATATAATCTTGATTACCCTGAACTTGAACAATTTCAACTCTTAAGCCAACATAGCTGTCTATACCAAATCACACATGAAGTATTTCAAATATGGGATTAACCCTGGGTTCATCCCTAGTACCGCAAGAAAAAAAACTATAATAATTTATATGTGCCTGGTGTCACATCAAAAAACTTAACTCTTTATCACTATCACCTTCAGTTTCCACAATTTAGAATAGTTGGTACCTGCCTATCTTGCAGATGATTTCCAATGGAAAGTGTGATTATGGACTAAACCTCTTAGGAAGTGATAATCCCACTGTTTACTTCCTATCTCACAAACATTAACCACCCAAGTCCTTCTCACCTGATAGTGACTGCTTTGGATGTGTCTGGGACATTTCCCAAGGGACAGAAGGATCAGTGAGTGCTACCTCCTTGCTCTAAGGTCCCACTTGTTCAGAGAATATTAAATACATTCCTCCACTATTTTATACACTCCACTTGCTTTTATATGTTTAAGACATATGAATTGAAGACGACGACTGTCACTCAGACCTCATGGTTTAACTTACTTTTGAAAGATGATGTTCAGAGGAGAATCCCAGGCCATAAACAGTGTTTGCCCGGCTATCCGCCCACTGGCCAAACTTCTGAGATGTTTTAGTAAATGTCATGTTTGGGGTGATAGTGCTATTTATTATTGCCTAAAAAAGAAATCAAGTATGAACAACCAGTCAAAAATGAGAAACCGGTATTTAAATAAAGAACCATTTAGCCACACAAAGGTTTAGGATCATTAGTGAGTCAAAATGTTAAACATATAAATAGTGGTAGAAATAGTTTCTAGCATTTTATGTGACAATGTGGAAATAAAGAGTTTCTTGTAAAACTATAAATAAAATGGTACTCCAACAAAAATTTCAGTATAACAAGTATTACTAGAATTCAAAAAATTTTCAGTTTTTAATGTGGTCAGATTCTTCCTTTTGAGTGTTTAGGACCACTATTTATTAATTTTGAATGATACTCATTAGAAGCAAATAGACCTTAGTCTTAATACTATTTAAATATTGATCTGATTCTCCAAAGAATTTTTAACATATAATTTCTTTAAAAACTAGTATTTTAGCAATATTATTAAGTACTAACTTTAGTGACAATGATAAATTTCAACTATTATAATATTAATTCATAATGTCTGCCAGTACTAGAAAAGTAGAAGGTTATTTTTAGTTAGTCCCTCTAAAATAGAGTTCCACAATAATGAGAAGATACATATCAAATCCATAAGCAGTTATCTGGTGAACTATTAAATGTTGAATGGAAATAAAGTATTTTCTGAACAAAGCTAAATTTGTTTACCATATGAACAATAGGATTATTGTAAAATGTTTATGAGTTATGTAGGTATGGACAAAGTTATAATCTGTCCTACTACAGAAGCTAATAAAACAGAACTGGCCCCTTTCTTTCAGAAATAAGTAGATGTATTATCTATCATTATGTAAGAGCCCAATACTCACTTATATAGCTCCAATAAAAAAAGGCTTCTCTCAGCCTATCATTTTAGACATATAAAATATAGCTAACCACTAGTTTGTAGGGCTATCATTAAATGAAAGACTAAATAGAAAAAATTTATTCACAATGGCAAAGGAACATTCATTTTATTCAACATTTTTTTGACTAAGTACCTATTAAAATGCCAAGCACAATTCTAGAAATTTAAGAGAGAGGCAATGTACTGTGGACTTTATTCTAGGAGGAGTTGGCTGGTGCACCAGTAAAAATAGCTGACAATTATGGTGGGACATGGGATGAAGTTCCTAAGACCATGGTGTGTGTGATAGGGTAGGAGGGAAGATAAAGACTACCTGGCACTGCTTATGACACCAGGGTCTTCAGGGTTCTCTGAGGTACAATGATCTGCAACCCGAGTAGTATCTTCAAGGAAACAGGGCATTTTTACATGAGATCCTAGTAACTCTCAAGAAGTGGGGCAGCAACAGGTTTTACAGGCATCTAAGAAAGCAGATCAATGTGCTGCTGATCTTGGACCCCACTGAATTAATGAACATATTTCTGCTTTGTTAAAGAGTTCATATAATCTCTACTTTGAACCTTTCTTAGCCTCTATATTACTTGTTCTTTAGTGACTGAAGAAAAACTTTAAAAAAATTCCACACTTAAAATGTTTATTCTTAGTTTCTTTCAGTAGAAGGCTACTATGAATCTTTTAAAAGAAAAACTTTAATATTTTAAAACATCTCTCAATCCTGGAGATCTTGTACTTTTATGAGAAAAACTTAAAAATGTTTTATCATCACAGATCACAAAGCACCCTGTTCCTGGCCTTGGTCATACCAATACCTCAAGCAGCATGATCAGAAAACCTTAAAGCAAATTTTGTGCACACAGGGCAGGCACTAACTTGTATTGCTTACCACAAAGCAACTACTCCAGGTAAGTACTGTAGTCATAACTGAAGACACTCATGAAATAGGACTCCAGAACTGCTTCAAAAAGTGACAAGAAGAGAGCAGAGAGAGCCAGACAGATTCGTCTCTGTCTGCTGGCCAACGCCATCAGAAAGTTTGCTTCCCGCAGTCAACCAGCCTGATCAGGGACACACAGCCAGGTAAGCCCCGTGCACCTATAGGCCACCATCAGAGAGTTTTGCTTCCTTCAGGCAGCCATCACCCAGTGGGAGAATCAGACAAACACACCCTCGTGTGCCTGCCACCATCACAGGAATCCTGGTATAGACATGCAAGCTGAGAAAAGCAGCAGCCCAACATACCTCTGGCCACTGGGAAAGCCCCAGTATCGCTACATGGGTCTAGAGAAGCCTGCCCCATCCCCTGCTACCTCTCTGTAAACCTGGGGTCAGAGAAACCCAGGTGCCTCTCCCATCACCCTACACTGTGAAGAGGCAGCCAACGTGGGAAGTTCTTGGAGCCCCAAACCAGCTTGTTGGGAGGAACCCAGGAGAATGTCAAGATGAAGGAGCAAAAGGCAATCTCAGACCTCCAGTCCACACAGAAGAAGTCTGGGAGATATAGTCATGGAAAAAAATGGAAGTCACACACCTGAAATCTTTAGAGAGGATAGCAAGTGAAATAAAGAAACAACTTCATGAGACTGTGAAAGCAGTCAAATCAGAAATAATGTCTCAGGTAAAAGAAGAAATCACAAACATAATGAAAGAATTGCTCAGCATATCTAAAGAAGACATAGAGAAAAAGAAGAGCCTAGGAAAATGATGGAAAGCTTGAATGAACAATATAGAAAGAAATTACAATACATGAAGCTGATTCAAAGAGATATTAAAATATTCAAAGAAATTAAAAAGCCAATGAAAAGCTAGCAAAACTGTTTGAAAGAATCTGACGATAGACTTTCAAACCTTGAGGACAGGATAACAGCTAGTGATCATGAAAGAAAAGATCTTTTAAAAATAACAAGAAACCAGGAAATAATTCAATGGCTGCAAGATGACACAAAGAAAAAACAGTGATAGGTATCAGTGAAGAAGCAGAGGTCAACACAAATGAAACAACAACAACAACAAAAAGACTATTTATAGAAGTAATAGCAGAAAACTTCCAAAACATGGAAAAGGATCTGGCATGCATGCAGATAATTGAGGCATATAGAACTCCAAGTAGCCATGAACAAAGCAAATCTATATTCAGATATATAATAATCAAGATTCCACAAATTCAGCACAAGAACAGCATATTAAAAGCTGTTAGAGAAAAGAAACAGATCACCTATAAAGAAAAACCAATCAGAATCATGGCAGACTTATCAACACAAACCATCAAGTCAAGAAGAGTTTGGAGTGTTTCAAATCCAGAAAGAAAACAACTTCCAGCCCAGACTGAGATATCCTGCAAAACTATCTTTCAAAATTGATGGAAAAATAAGATTCTTCATAATAAAGAACAAATGAAGGAATTCATAACCATCAAACCAACCCTACAGAGAGTGCTGAAGGATAGTCCAGAGAGAGATAAAGATGATCATGGAAGAGCATTCCAGGAACAGCAGCAGAGGAGGATCACCAAACAGGACAGGGGAAAAGTAGAAGGCCAAAGCAGGAGCTATCGTGGCAGAGACAAACCAATGTATGCTGATTGTAACCATTAATGTAGATGGCCTCAGGAGTTCATCAATAAAAAGAAACACATGGAGACTGAGTCAAGAAACAAGATCCCTCAATGTACTGTATACAAGAAACACATTTAACTGGAAAGGAAATTCAGACTGAAAATCAAAGGAGAGAAAACAGTTGTTCCATGTGACAGGAGGCCAGAACAAAGAAAGGGTACTTGCCCATCAACTGCAGAATGAGTAAGAAAGATATGGTATTGTCATACAATGGAAAGCTACCCAGCTATAAAGAAGGATAATCTCGAGGCTCTTATAGGTAAATGGATACAACTGGAGATCATGTTCATGGGCTAATCAGTTTGAACTCATATGGGTAAATCCTAGCATAAAAACTGAAGGAGTTAGTGGGGTCCAAAAAGCACAATAGATATTTTTTTTTTTTTTTTTTTTTTTTTTTTTTTTTTTTGGTCTTTTTCATTTTTATCGGTACCGGGGACCGAACTCACGACCGCCTGCCTGCAAGGCAGGTGCTTATGCCGCTGAGCTAAATCCCCAGCCGCACAATAGATATTATGAAAATGATGGGGGAAAACACCTACTAGGGGAAAGTGGTAACCATTGTTCATTTCTTATTGCCTTGTCTTGAACTCTTGTATTGTTTTCGCAATTTTGTTAGGTTTGGTTTTGTTCTGTGTTTTTTGTTAGATTTTACTTTGTCTGATGATATAACCAGCTATTATGAACATAATGGGATGTATTATGGTAATCGTGGTTGGTTTCCTATTATCTTGTTTTGAAATCCTATAATGCTTTCAGTCTTTTTTTGGTTGTGTACTGTTTTGTCTTGATTTTATTATGTGTGATGGTATGAACAGCTATTTTGAAGAAAATAAGACATTATGGAAGTCATTGTCAATTTCCTATCATCTTGTTTTGAAGTCTTATAATGCTTTTATTCTTTTGTTTTGATTGGTTTTCTTGTTGTATTTTATTTGACTTTATTACGTGTGAGAATATGGATGAGTGTTTTGAAGAAAATGAGACATTTTCCACCATCATTCATTTCTTGTTATTTGGTTTTGAAGTCTTATAATGCTTTCATTCTTTGGTTTTCATTGGTTTTAGTCTGTTTTCTGTTATCTGATTTCAATATATGTGAAGGTATGGACAGCTATTTGGAAGAAAATGGGAGACATTATGGTAGCCATTGTTGATTTCCTATTATCTTGTTTTGAAGTCTCATAATGCTTTCATTTTGTTTTGATTGGTTTTATATTGTTTTGTTTTGTTTGAATTTATTGTGTGTCAAGGTAGAAACAACTATTTCAAAGAAAACAAGAAACATTATGGTAGCCACTGTTGATGTCCTGACTTGTTTTGAAGTCATGTGTTGCTTGCATTGTTCTGTTCTGATTTGTTCTGTTCTGTTTAAAATTTAAAAAGTGACAAGAAGATGGCTTAAGTATGTTTAAAATGAGGATAAGTATTGTGACAGAGATTAGTGGCAGTCTTTTTTCTTAGATAACTCTTTTAGATATTGTGACTGCTGATATCTAGATGTCTTCCTGAAGTCTTATGTGGTTACAGGTGGGGCCTTTCAGAGGTAGCTAGACTTATGATGTGTGATGCTGGGGTTGATAAATGGTGCCATGCTAAGATCAACGATGCCCCACCCTGGCTGTGACTGATACCTGCCCTAAGGGTGGGTAGCCTGGATAGGATGTAAAGGACAGGATAATGGTTGCAGCTTGTTGGTGTGCTGCTTGCTGCCTTCTGCCTGCCATGAACTGTATTTCCTCTGCGATGCCTCTTTGCCAAGCCACTCTGTCTTGCAGCTAGCTGACCATGAACTGAAACATCTATAAACTGTGAGTCAAATAAACCTTTCCTCCTTCAGGAGAAAAATGGAAGTTCTGTAGTTAACAGCATCAGTTTAGAAAAGTAGCCAGAAAAAGAAAATTTCACAGAAAATACAACTGTGCTATAGAAGACAGATTTTGTTGGAACAGTATACAATTTTTTCACAAGTTACTTAAGATTCTAATATATTCAGAAACGGAACTGCCAAAAGCAATAGTTCACATGAGGACAACTTAATCATCAAATTGCTTTTTCAAAAAAGAAAGTGTTTTAATCTGTTTAAGGTTTGTTAGCAACTGAAATCTATTTAATCATTTCCACAGTTACTTTTCTTGGACATGGGGCTACTTAGTTGATCTTTACTTCAGTACATCATTTAATCTTTTATCTAATAAAACTGCATTTCACTTATAGTTTGGGCCAAAGAGACAAAATACAGAAATTAAAGATTCAAGTGAAGGAAAAAAAACAAAACAACAACAAAACCACCCTCCAAAATTCTATTTTATTTTGAAGAGGAAAAAAAACAGAAAAATCAAGAAGCAAACAATTAAAAAACAACAAAAGCAAAGTGACAACAACAACAAAAAACAATGGCAATATAGGATATCAAAACAAGATGACAGGAATTATATTGCAAAGTAACTGCTCAGGCTACCAGATACCGGCTTGCAAGATTGATCAAACAATAAAATTTCCCTTTGAGCAGTTTCTTTTCCTTTTACTATATCTAGTGTAACTTTTGGATCTTATTTACTTTTTCAGTTTTTTACACTAGTGAGACAATACTGTGTTTACAGATGCAAGTTTGATTTATTTCACTTATGAGTATGGTTTCTAATTACATCCATTTAAAGAACAATAAACTCGAGGTTTTTACAGGTAAAACCAACATTCTAAAGCCTGAGGTAAAAAAAATTTTAAGAAAAGGTTACAATGGAAATAAAGCTTTGTAAATAGATAGGGGAAGAGGGGTTGAAATGAGAAGGGGGTATTCAGAAAAAAGAGGAATCAAAATATATCATAAAAGACATATCCAGAACATACAAAGAATTGAAAACATCAAGTCCCCAAAATTCAAAGACCCTCTTCAAAAATGGACATTTGAGATGAACACACAGTTCTCAGATGAAGATATACAAACAGCAAATAAATACATGAAGAAATGTTCACCATCATTGGTCATTCAAGAAATGCAAATTAAAACAGCACAGAGATTTCATGTCACTCCAGAAGGAATGGCTGCCATCAAGAAATCAACTGATAATGTTGGCGAGGCTTGGGGGGGGGTGGGGAATACTTCTCCACTGTTGGTGGGAGTGTAGACTGGTGCAGCCACTATGGAGATTTGTCAGAAGACTAGGATTGGAAGTTCCATTCAATCCAGCTATTCTCCTCCTGGGTAATTTCCCAGAAAAATTGAAAAGGTCATGTCACAGTGATCTGTGTGAACCCATATTTATAGCAGCACAATTTGTAATAGCTGAATATTGGAAACAATCCAAATGCCCATCAACTGCAGAATGGAAGAAAAAAATGTGGTATTTTTTTGCGGGGGGGGGGTGGGACTGGGGCTAGAACTCACTACCTCACACTTGTCAGGTAAGTGCTTATGCCACTGAGCTAAATCTCCAGCCCTAGATGTGGTATTTTTATATAATGGAATATTACTAAGCTATAAAAAGATGCTCTTGAGGCTTTTATAGGTAAGTGGAGGCAACTGGAGACTATCCTCATAAGTAAAATAAATCAGACTCACATTTGTAAATATTGTATTGTCTCTCTAGTATAAAAATAATAATAAAAAACTGAAAGAGTAATAAGATCCAAAATGTATAACAGATATTGTAATAATGAAAGGGAAAGAAAGTGCTCTAAAGGATATAACCATATGTATGTATAAGTGTGCAAGATAGAAAATCATGCTACTGTTTGTTAGTTCATCAAACACAATGGTTTGTAATGTCATTGTTTGACTGTCCACGTTTTATGCTTTGATTTTGTAACTTGAACAACTACTTCTAAGATAACAAAATGTCATTTATCAACTAGTTATTTCTTACTGGTTTTTTTTGAAATTCTGTATTATTTCTACCCATTTTTCTGTTTTCCTTTTTTCTCTAAAAAGTTACTGAGGAAAAAAATATGTATATATCATCAACAGGTACAAATTCCTCATGATGAATATGTCATTATGAATGTTCAAAATGTACCAATAAATTTAATTAAAACAAAATAAAGCCTGAGGTAGTATCTGTTGCTTTCAGGAAGGCGGTTACAAGATGTACAAATTATTCTTTACTAAATAATGCTTGACAGAAATCAATTACTACTATTTAAGTCCTCCAAGTAAAAAATGAAGAGGGTCAATTTTTCAGTTAATACAGGTTAGTCATTTATGTATAAGACATAGAGTGCAAATAGCTTAGAGGTCATAATCTAATAAGATAAGAAATGAACATAATGAAATATCAAATTAAAAGCTTACCATTAAATTAACTTTTATTCCTAAAAGGTCATATGGTAGTATATAGTCAATAGCCTAATATTAATACTACTAATAGTAGCAAGTGTTTGTATAGAAATTAGTATCACACTTTGTACTTTTGCTTAAATTTATTACTTTTCACAACAATGTTATGGTGTAATAATGTAGGTATTTTTATTAGTTCCCTTCTACAGATAAAAAACTGAGGCACACAGAAGTTAAATAGCTTTAGACCATATGGCTATTAATATGAGAGAAAATTCATGAGACAGTTTAGCACTAAGTTCTACTCTTCTATAATGAATTGCTAAAATATAGGGTGGGGGGTTGGAATAGCCACAAGGCTTTAGGAAGCTTGAAAAAGAAAAATGAGAACTTCATCTTTTTATACTATCCATAAACTGATGCTTGAAATTTCTTTATTTAAATCAGTTATATGGAACTTACTGATGACAAAATGGATTTTTCACTACTAGGATTGAGGCTCAGTAGCAAAGAGGCCACTCAGCACAGGTGAGGCTCTGGGTTCTATCTCTGATAATACTGGAAGGGGGCATTTTTCTCCCTTTTGAAGGGTACTCTACCTACCAGAGCACTAATTAAGTGCTTTGCAGTTACAAATATTTTAATAACTACCAGTATGTAGAACATGGGGGCTCAGAGAAGTAATTTGCTCAAAGTCAAAATATTCAGTAACTTGTGGTGTCACTCAGAGCTAAACCCAGGCAGGCGGTCTTTGCTCTTAAGTCTTATGCCATCTGCCACTCCTAAACATAAATGCTTAGGGTTTCAGTCCTTGTGCTCCTTTTAGCATTGATGCTGATAGACTTCCTGCAACTTAGGGATTCTGAACTGCCTAATCATCCACATAAGTTCTTATGGCATGGCTACAATTAACTACTTACCCCAAAGGTCACAGAGCTGGAGGGAGGCAACGCGGAACCTTCAAAGGTAGGCAGTGTGGAGGGGCCTCAGGTCTTTAGGGTGTGATGTTGGAAGGCAATTCTCATGGACTCTTAGAGTGTTTATGGAAGGTTTCTTATAGAAGAAACAAGTCCAGCCCCTCAATTCTCTTAGCTCCCAGTCACTCATCACTCCATGTGTCCCTAACCTGCCATTCTTAAATTAATGCCATGTCATCTAGACATTCAGCCTCCAAAACTAAAACTAAATACAATTCTTCCTTCATAAGTACTCTGTGCCAGGTATTTCATTACCATAATGAAAAAACTGACTAATGTGGAAGTGTATCTGAAAAGAATTCTAGGTCCTGGTATTCTAGGTCATATCTATTTTGTGTACTACTATATTGCTACTATCTAGCATACTGCCTGACAAATAGAATATTTTGAAAGAATGTAAGAAAGTAGTTAATCCAAGCAATTTAATGAATAAAAACTGATGTTACTTTAACTATCAGTTTACTTTAAAAGTTTTCAAATTAGCTGAGCATGGCGATACATATCTACAATCCCAGCACTTGGGAGGCTGAGGCAGGAGGATTACAGAAGTTCAAGGCCAGCCTGAACTATACAATGAGACTCTATCTCAAAAAAACAAAAAACACCAAACACCGGCCCCGAAATCTGAATAAAACTAAATAATGATAAAACTAAAGAGCAATATTAAAGTAAATAGAAATTACCTTTGAGCCATCTAAACTGATTATCCTATACACATTTCTTGTGCTGTCATAAAAATAAGACACAGTAACTGCATGCTTGCTGGTGGGTACCCAGTTCTTCTTTGTGTTTGGGTCAATCTGGAAGACGTGAGCTCGAGTGCTGAAGATAGGTTGTTCCCTGCAGGGCAGAAAAGACAATGATATAATAAAAGCAGTCGTTTTATTTCACTGGATGAGAACACAATACTCTAAGAATGATGCTTAGCTAACGATTTCCATATACCTCCCTAAATAAGAGCAACTTTCTTTTAATTGTGAATATTCTTTCTTTTAATTGTGAGTATTCAATGATAAGTTTCTTTAAAACAATTAGAATTCATTCTGGTTATTCATATATTCTATATGTATGAATTTATCTACTTCCTAAAACTTACCTGTAACCTCTAAATTAAATATCTAAATAATAAATGTGGCACTGTTTAGTCTTCTATAGATATCCAAAGAGCAGCAAAAAACCATGAATTGCTGGTAGGCACATTTCCACCTGAAGTTGAACCAAGTGATACTCTGCTTTCCTGTTTTAGCATCCATAATACATAAAAAGGTGTCCTTTTCACAGTCTGTTTAGCACTATGCTTTCTTTGCATTTTTGTGCTTACTATTGTTGCTTTTGCTGTTTAAAATGGGTTCTCATATTGTGATGAAGTATTCTTATGTTCTGTCTGTTCCTAGGTATGAGGGAGGTCTCTGACACGCCATACAGAAAATACATGTTAGATGAGTTTCATTTAGTTGTGAGTTACAGAGCTGTCAGCCTTGAGTTCAATGCCAGCACAGTAATGAGCTAAGGTGAAACCTGAGGTCTACAAGCAGTGAAACAATGCTGTGTGCCCGTGCGTGGCTGACTAAAATGCTGTGCCCAAAGGTTTATTGAGACAGGACACTGTAGTCACCCTAGAAGAAATGGTTCAATATTTGCTAATTCAGGGTTCCTGGCACCTTTATAGATCAGAATTACTATGAATAATAAGAAAGAACTACATTCTGTTAAGATGCAAGTATCTTGTATTGACCCTCATAAGGTTAACAGCTTTTACCATTAATCACATTACCCTTGTAACAGATAAAAGAATCTACTTGGAAAGTTTACATTTAACATATTATACATGTACGTACTATCCTAAAAAATATAGAAAACAAAGTTGTTGAAAACCTCAGATTTTTTTTTTTAGATCAAGTAGGGCCTCAAAGATGTGAGATTTAAAAGTTCATAGTTTGGAGAACCAAAAAAAGCAAAAAGTATTCAAAATACTATTATAAAATTCATTACAGTATGAAAACTAGCATGAATTATCCATATATAACAGAAGCTTCATGATGCGAAATTTTCCAACTTCTAAATAAAAACTTTTGGAAACAGTGTTTTTCACTTCACTGGTATTTTCCCCCAAATCATCTTGTCTCTTTTCACTACATCTGCTCATTTCTGCAGCAGCTCAAAGTCCTAAAAAGAATTTTAATTTTTTGGTAATACTTAATTAACTAAATTCAAAATTTTTACTTTTAAAGAATTTGTCTCAGCACTTGGGAGGCTGAGGTAGGAGGACTACTGTGTTTGAGGTCACCCTGAACTGGATAGTGAAACAACTGCTCCAAAAAAAGAAAACAAATTGAAATATTTTAAAGTAGTCCCTTGCAAAATGACTCCTGGGGTTAACAACCATGGGCTGGCCACATGAGTCTCTGTTAGTCCTTAGAATGGGGGTGTTGGGAGAGTGGTGCCTTCCCAGAAGTAACCTGGATCCTGCAAAGTTTTTTTCTTCAAACTTCCAACAGGACTTTTTCTTTTAAAGACTTTTTTCTTTTTGGTACTGGAGATCCAACTTATGACCTCACACTTGCCAGGCAGGCACTTGTGCCACTGAGCTAAATCCCCAGCCCAAGAATTTCTTTTTAAAGAAAGTGATAAATTTTGTGCTTCACCTTAAAACATGAACCAAGAAGTCACCTCTTCTTGCTTAACCACCATTATGTATGGATTCAGGTAACAAAACAAGTGAGTATTGTGCTGCGGTAGGAACTCATCCATCTCCTTTCCCTTCCTCAATCCCTGACTTCCAGTGAGGCAGCTTCTGTAATTTGATGTTCCCTACAGTCCCTAGTTTCCTTTGTGCCTTTCAATTAAAGTTCTGTGTACAAGCCCTGCTGACTAAACTAGCTAGTTCCAACTCAGGTAAATCTAATCACACACAACCCTACTGCGACAGATGAGGAAGGGAGGAGAAACACTATTTTTTACTGACTTTGTAATGTTTTAGTTTTCATTTGATGGAAGGGGTAAATTTCTAAATAGTGCAGCCTGGAGAGTATCGGAATATGTTCTAATAAACGTTTTCTAAAAGACTAAATTAGTCATTAAAATAACAATATTGCTGTCACAAGCTTTCTGTGACCAATCAACAAATCTTTATTCAATGGAAATGCAATGTTTTGAGTCAATGGAGATTCTCCACCTATCAAGTCATCCGATTTAACCCACATTTTAATTCCTTTAAGAATAAAAATCTTTTAACTAGTTAATATATGCAAATGACCCAAGGCTATCAACTAATGCACAGCTTTCTTCAGTTATCTGCTGAGTAACTGGTTTCTCAAAGAAATTATAATGCAAGATTTCTGCTGTCAAAAGCTGACTTATCAAAGTAGACCATAACGACTAGAGAAATACCTTTCAATACTGATACAGAGACAGAATTCCTTGAAGTAATGAAAACACTACTGTGTCTAACAACAGGGCATACTATTAAATGAGCCAAACTTCTATAAGAATATATGTATTACCATGAAAAGAACCAGAGTGGAGGCTGGGGATGTAGCTCAGTGGCAAATCAACTTCCTAGCATGCAGCAGATCCTAGGTTTAATCCCTTGGACGGATGAATGGATGGATAAATAGAATGGGATTGGGTCCCTGTCCTTGAAAAGTTCAATTTGAGTCAGGTGTGGTGATGCATGCCTCTAATTATAGGTGGTCAGATAAAGCTGGGCTCTTGAGAGAGTCAATGCAAAGATGAAAATTTATTACAACTGTGGCCAGAGGCACATCTGGTGGAGGCCAGGCCTCAAAAGAAAGAATGAATAGGCCTATATGTTTCCCCAAAGGTAAGTGGTTAACAGCTGGTTAAAAAAAGATAGACATCAGTCACCTCAGTGGGTGACGAAAACCCTGGGACTCATTCTTCCTGAAAAGTTCTTTGCTCTTTCCATGATTTTTTGTGATTCACTCCCTCATTGGATCAACATTACCTAAGTGGCTATACTCATAACCTTATTGGTTGATCAAAGTTTGGACCCATGTTGTGCCTACCTCGTGATTATGCTCTATAAAATTTATAAACTATTATGAGAAGTGGGCTCAGTGACAATCCACTCGGGACCCCTCCTGTCTCTCAGGAGCTGTATCTCTCCCCTCAATAAATATTTCTTACTCTTAACCTCTGTTGTTCCTTAGAATTCATTCTTCAATTTTGGGGACCACAAACTTAGCATACATATCTAATCTAGCAAGTCAGGAGTTATATTTCCCCTGTATCATTTGGAGGCCCTATTCATTCCTATATCAATCCCAGCACACATGAGGAGGCTGCAGCAGGACTGCCACAAGTTTGAGGATAACCTGGACTACAGACTGAGTTCAAGCCCAGCTTGAACTACACAGTGAGACCCTGTCTCAAAAAATGAAAAGTTCAATGCAGTGAAAGACAGGCATGATAACAATAATATGCTCTTCACCGTAACAGATTGCCTGAAAATCAGTGACTAATGACTATGGTGGAGAAATTAATGCCTGATGTCTAGGGAGAATTTGAAACAGATTAGGGCACAGTGGGAAGAGGGCATAGGACAATGTTGTATGTAGCAAGAACAGTTAAATGTGAGTGCCTTTGATTAATGAAGCAAAAATTAAGAAAGAGAAACCAGTTCATCACAAACAAAGGTGATGCTAGCAAAATAAAATAGGGGTGGAAGGAAGGGAAAAACACAGTTGAGATGTGTTATGTATACATACCAATTCCTCATAATGACTGTAAACATGTGCTGCAAACCAACTAATGCATCTTTTTAAAAAAAGGGGTATCTTTAAAAATAGCAGAAAGAAGCAGAAATACAAACATGCCTAACTGCAGGACTGAAGTCCTGAAAGTACTTGTAATTTCTGACTAAAATATCCTTCTTGGTTAGAGTAAATAAATAAGAAGTAAAACAAAGAAATTCTATTTTCGGCTTAAAGTTTCAAGTGGCAAGAGAAGCTGTACAAATTTGATAAGCCTAAAAGGACAACAGCAATGTAAGTTCAGGAGTCCACAGACCTCATGTCCACCTCATTTCACCACTAATACCTTTAGAACTTAGTTTCAATGTCACTGTGAGAAGGCACAGTATGCCTTTGGAAAAAAGCCTCAAGCTTTAAATTTTCTAAAATGTCCTTTAAAGTTAATAATATAAATTGTAATGCTACAGGATTATCAGGGAACTAGTTTAAATCAATTTCAGTATGTCTCTTTCAACTCTAAGAAAAAAATGACTAAAATAATTGTTCCAATACTGCTAGAGACTCACTGCATACAAAATCCAACAGCTAACTACTAACCAGATGCTCCTGTTACTATGTTATACATTTAACAGCTGATGGATAATATATAGATTTTTTTGTTTTGTTTTGTGAGACAGGATTTCATTATGTAGTCCAGGTAGGCCTCAAACTCACAGTGATCTTCCTGCCTCAGCCACCCCAAATGCTGGGATTACAGGCATGTATCATCACGCCAGGCAGAATGTTCTTTTTTAAAAAGCTTACTTCTAAAAAGACTCATCCTCCCTACCTCCTATTTCTCTTTTGTTTTGCTTTATTCAAATTTGGGTTTCTCATATACCATGCAATATTTAAATTTCTGTGTCTGATTTATTTCACTTGACATTATAGTCTCAACTTGCATTCATTTTTTTACAAACGACTCAAGTTCACCCTTCTTTATGGTAGGGTAGTGCTACATTGGGTGCAAATACATTTCATGAAACCACTCATCTGTTGGATTACAGGCTGTTTCTAAGATTTAAATGTTACGAACTGTGTTGCTATAAATAGGGTATGTGTGAATCACTGTAATATATCTTTCATTCTTTTAGGATAATACCCAAAAGGGGAATAGCTGAGTTAAATGGAATTTCTGTTTTTACTCTTTGAGCAATCTCCATACTGATGTCCATAGTGATTATACCAGCTTACAATCCCACTAATAATATAGAAGGGCTCCCTCCCACCTCAACATTTGGTATTAGATTTTTTGATGATAGTCATTCTTTCTCTTTCTAGGTTGAGATGGAATCTTGGCGCTGTTTTAATTTGCATTTCTCTAATGGCCAGCAATGTTGAACACTTCTTTATGTGTTTATTGGCCATTTGTACTTCTACAAAGCATTTATTCATTTCACTCGCCCATTTTGGGTCTTTTATTTTGGATGGCATCTAATTTTTTTGAGTTCTTTATATATTCTAAGTATTGGTCCTCTGAAGAATAGCTAGCAAGAATTTTTTTCCATTGTACAAGCTGTCTTTTCACTTTGTTGGTTGTTTCCTTTGCTGCGTAGCTTTTTAATTTGCTATGATCCCATTTGTTTATTAGTTGTACGATTTCTTGTGCAACAGTGGTTCTGTTCACAAAGTCTTTATCTACACCTATAACTTCAAGAGTTTTCCAGTGTTATCTTTCAGCAAGTTAAGGGCCTCTGTTTTAACATCTAGTCCTACTCTGAGAGTTTATTCTGTCAACACACTGTTACACTGCAAGAGCTCCATCTAGTGATAAACTAAAAACATAGCCGGTGTGTGCTTTTTAAAATTTGAGTTATAAAGTAAACACAAAGCTGTAATGTGGCACTCGTGTAACAGAGGTTTTACAGACTTAAAATGTGACACCAATAACTACAAAATATCTTCTGGAAAAAATTTTTTAAATTATATGATCTGAATTCCTTGGTCTTTTAACTCATCAACCGCACATTTAAATGAAAAGTTTTTTTTTTTATTAAATCACTATTTGCATTATAGTTGAACATTAGAAATACTTTCATGACATCAAATATGTTGCTTAATTGGCATATTTGAAGTAGATATCAAAAAGTTTAAAAATTTCATGTACAAATTGACAAGAATATAATTAAATAGTAACACTTTATATTCCTTCTATACAATTTAAGAGCTTTTTAAAAAATTAATTTCAGTTCTTTCAGTAGGCAAAAAGTTATGAAAAGAGATTCTAGTATTTACATACTCTTCAGCACTTTATTCAGTAGCTGCATTTAAAAGACTAAGGGCAAGGTGACATTCAGAGTAAAGAACAAGTAAATCTACTTAATGCATTTATTAAATAACACCTTCAATGTTCAAAGTACCTGGCTTGGTTATTAAAACACTACCAGTGACACTGTCAGCTTCTTCTATCCATTTCACCCATAAAATACTAAGTATTTAAAAATGTATCAAAAAGCATGCCTGATATAATACACTTAAAGTTTCATTTTTACAGTAACATTTAAAACTAGTACTGTATTTTCAGTTTTATTCAACTTTAAATACTTTCATCTTCCTAGATAACTTCTAGTAAGTAAAGTTAAACTTGGAGAACTGACTGTATGCACTAGGGAAATCTAAGCAGACTTCCTATTAATAAACGGGATTTAATTCTTGTAAATATAGGGGGCATATTACAAAAAATCTAAAATAAGTGATTTCCTAATAGACATCTAATTCTTTAGAACTAAAAATCAATTAAACACTAAAAGGCCATTTAAGTTCTAGCATTACTTTCATATTCTTAGGTAAACTTTTATACCTGCTACAAATGAAATGAGTATATCTGAATAGTCTAAAAATAAGACAAAAATATGCCAAAAAGTTAACATTTGCAAAATGTGGGTGCATGGGTGTCAAAGTATTCCTTATTTTATTAATACCTAGAATTGCTCAGAACAATAGAATCTCACATCATTTCTCTAGTTTACTGCTACTGCAAATTTTGAATCAGTCACATTTTATTTTATATATAGGCAGTTGATTTTAACTGCATGTAACAGTACGTTCTACACTATCCAAGATGGTAGCCACTAGCCATACTATTACTGAACATGTAAAATATGGCTACAGCATTAGGAAAATAAATTACCTTAAACTTTATCTGATAATTCAGTTACTGCAAAAAATTTTAACTATGTATGAAAAACTTGGTCAATCTCAGGAAATTTAAATTCATATCAAACACTTTCAATAAGATTTAACATTGAAATTGAGATGTACTTTGCAAAATATGTAGTAAATCTCAACAGTATGAAAAAATGCAAAATAGGTCAGTGATTTTTTACATTAAGTGCATGTTAAAGACATACTGTTAAAATATATTAAACGATTTTATCTTTTTGAACTTTGAAGTAAATTAAATTTATGTTGTCCATATTGTACTTCTGATGGAAAATGGACTACACATTACTTCATGTAATCATTTCCTTACTGAGAAAAACATACTGTTCCCATGTTTATACTATATACATCCCTGTATGTTTTCATGTGCATATATATGCAAGAGACGAACTAGAAGAATTCCTGGCTATAGCATATATCCAAATTGCCCTTCGGGGTGGAGTGTATCTGAGGGATCACAGTGCTTGCCTTAGCATGCAAGAGGGCCTAGGTTCCATCCCCAGGACTGTAAAATAATAATAGTAGCTAGGGATTTAGCTCAGTGACATAAGTGCCAGCCTTGCAAATGTGCAGTCAGGAGTTCAATCCCCGGTACCAAAAAATAATAATAATAATAGTATTACATTTTAATATCACATTCTACCACCACTTGGTAATGTCCAAGTAATATCTTCAGTTTGTGCCAACTTGATGGGCATAAAATGGTATTTCCTTGTTTTAATTTGAATATTAGTGACACTAAGAAACAATTTGTGTATTTGTGGACAATTTGAGCCTGGTAGATTTTTGTACTGAGCTTGTTTAAAACCTTATTTCAGCTCCAGAGAGTGAAAAAAAATTTAAAATTCAGTGCTCAAACCACATGCATGGGGGACATCTTATATCCAATTCTAATCAAATATATAAACATATTTGAAGGCAACATTCACTAAAGTAGCATAAGGCAGAATTGTTTTTCTACTTGATGATATTCAATGTTTGAAAATCAACACAGTATATAGGTACAGCATAATTTGTTCTTTGTTAAAAGGTAAATTATGATTCTTTTACTATAAATCTTAAGTTTTAATTTTATACACCAAAGTGTTTCTGATATGCATCTTTTTCATAGTGGAAAAGTAGATTAGTGGAGGGGAGGTAAATCCCTTACACTTCTAAATTAGTGTCATTTTAGCATTCATGCTGGCTCAGTGACAAAAACAAACAAACACACATGCTATTATATTAGAAGCCAAAAGTACCAACAGTTAGTTAAACTCTTGGATGTTTTCCAGTCATGATCACCATCACACCTCGTGGCTGAGTGTGCCTGCTACGTGTGAGAACATCAGTGTGCTTGGTGCAGGTAGAGAGGCCAGAGGGAGAGAAGCAACCCAGCGTGGGTAGGGCAGGAGCTCTTTTCAGGCTGCGTCTCCAGTGGCTGCAGGCAGACTCACCGAGGATGCTCTGAAAAACCAAGGGTGCTGGGCCGCTCCCCCAGAATCACTGATGCTGAGGCTAAAGCCTGGTTTCTCATGTGCAGTCACACTAAGGACTCTGGTTTTCACTGTATGATGTGAAGCCAATGGAAGATTTGAAGAATTATCCACTTGACTTAGGTATTAAGACATATATATATATATGAAAAAATTTCCAGACATATAAAAAGTAACCACCTTTCTCCCTACCATCATCAAAAGCCATACTTGCATGGTGGTGCACACATACAATGCCAGTGTTCTGGGAGGCCAAAGCAGGAAGATTACAAGTTCAAGTAAAGAACAGTGAAATGAAGTGACTTAACAAGATAATGTCTCAAACGTTAAAATAAAAATGGGATGTGGCTCCATGGGAAGGCCCTGGTTTCAATCCCCATTATCACAAAAAAGACCTTGAGTTCTACCAAACCTATTCCTAGTTTATATACATTTAGTAAATGTTGTAAGAATTAAATTCCTAAATGTTTTGTCATAAGGTTCTTATGTGTTTTTGTCAGGAAAAGAACAAAACCAAGGTGAGGAAAACTAATAAGGAAAAGGCATAAAGTATTTGTACATAAATAAAACTCATTTTATCAAAATATGCATATACTTCCTATCAAACTATCCTTTTCAGAAATACTGTATGAAATCTAGCCAGCATGAGACACTTCAGAATAATTCATTCCATAAAAATACAGATCAGAGAGTTATTTTCCCTTTCAGAAAATTCTTAAGTATCTCCTGAAATGAAAATAAAAGGATGATACGAAACCAGCCTAGTAGCCCTGTATGTGACAATGTATTTCCAGGATTACTTCCACACAGGCTTCAATAATTACAAACAGGCTACACTACTTACAAGATACTTTTACCTGCTAAAACACCTAAATGTTGTACCTTTTAAACTTTAACTGTCTTTGTGCTTGCTTTGGTAAAACGTATGGTAAAGTTTAAACATCTTTAAATTCATTGTCCCAATTTATCACTTACTTGTCCACAAGAGTTTTTTCTCTCCTCATGGTTATTTGGTCAGTTTGGGCTCAGCTTTACTGTTTGTTGTATTTTCCTCCACTGTTTCTGCTATTGGCTGTCACTGGGTATGAATTTTTTAGACCACAAACTTCAAAGGCAGTAACATTCTGCTATAAGTAATCTGTTAAAATCAAGTTGAATGAGAAAGTTTATACTGTGTCTTTAAAGAGTAATCAATATAGTGGCATGCACCTGTAAGCCCAGCATTTAGGAAGGCTGAGGCAGGAGGCCTGCCAGAGTTCCAGGCCAATGAAGGCTACAAAGTCAGTTCAAGGCCAGCCAGAACTGCAAGTGAAACTGTCGGGGGGGGGGGGGGGGGCGTGAAAGGGTGGAGGTAATCAATACAACAAGCCAATTGTCATTTTAAATTATTCAGATGTTTACACATGGTTTGGGCAAATTTCTGAACTACTTAACAGGTTTTCAGAAGCAATGTATGTAATTTGAGAGGAGACAATGATGTGAATTTTTCCGTATGGCCACTTTTAATTATAATGAAATATAAAGAGCTAGAAAACAACTCCAGAAAGTAAATCCTAAATTTAACTTTAGCCCAGAGTTTTAAGTATGCTTCAAAAAACTGTTTCATCACTTATCTGTATTTAGTTTCATCCTCTTCCACCTTTGTGAAATGTCTGCTAATAACAAGGTGATGAAGGCATACCTTTATGTATGCCAAGTTGGATGGAAAATGTGCTAAAAATGGCTGCATGAAGGTCTTTTTGGCAAGGACTATTTTGACTAATATTCATAATTAATGCTGTGGAACATACATGGCAATTTTACAAGTCCATCTTAGAAACTACATCTTATAGCTCCCAATACAAGGTTCTACAATTGTTCTGTACTGAGTTTATATATGCCTTTGCTGCAGAGCATCTACAAGTCTTACATGCACTGATACACTTAATGTACTCTCTTTTCAGAGACTCTTGACAACTAGTAACTATACTTTTATATTTGATGTTCAGATTACAGAAAGATAAAAGGTCTGGTACCTATCAAAATCTACTAATTAGTTAGACCAATGAAAATTCTATGAGTAGCCCCCCAAAAATCTGAAGAATCTAGTTGGAAGATAATATAGCACTAAAAGGATGAGAGATGTAGATTAGAGTCATCCTCACACTGATCAGCAAGCTGTAGTAGGGGACAAAGCTGGTTATTAGTAGCCAGAAATGCTTCACTTGAAACTGCTATATTTTGTCAAATAACCCGGATTATTTTAAATTCATGCTCATATCATTTTGAGTAATGATTCCAATCTGCCAAAAATCAACCATAATATCACTATTTCAGTATCTCAAAATGCACTGCAGAGATAACACACACAATGTTTAGTCTCTGATACGGGAGGTTTTTTTTTTTTCCCCCTGGAAAATGTCGTGCTTCGAATTTCAAAATGTAATTCTCTACTAATTATATTTATGGTGAAGTTGTATGTATTTTCTCTAAAACTTTCTGAACCAAGACAGGATTCCTACACACACACACACACACACAATCACACACAATTAGAAAACCTAAAGTATGGTCTAATTTAGAAAATACTGTACTTATTAAATCCTTGAAAATGCCCTGACTTTTAAGAGAAACTTTTCTGTGTGCATCATCACAACTAAGTATTTGTGACATGGACACAGAAAGATACACTTCACTAGGTAAGACATGTGAACAGCAGATGGAAAAGGCAAGATCAACAGAAGAGCTCAGTAAACTGACAAGTAGAACTGCATTTTAAAAAGGCTAACTGGATGTCAAGTGGTCTAAGATGCCAGACTCAAGCTCTGCTTCTCACTGCCCCCACCAAAAAAAGAAAGAAAGAAACAGTCTAACACTTGAAAAGCGGGGCATGTTGATAACCTCTTTTAAATGATAAAGTAGAGGAAGAAACTTAACATTTTGAATTCCTATTACATGTAAGGCTGAATAATGTCCCTCAAAGACATCTAGTCTTAATGCCTAGACTCTTTGGATATTATTTGACAAAAGGGAGTTTACAGATGTGATTGAACTAACAAACTTGAGACTGAGACAGTATCCTGGGCTAGGTTTGTTGGACCCTCAATGTCAATCATAACTGTCCTTGTAGGGAAGGTGACGTGATGAAGTGGAGCAGAGGGTGCTGAAGATGCTCATGTTGCTGGCTTTGAAGATGAAAGAAGAGGTCATTAACCAGAGAGGCAACTCTAGAAGGTGAAAAGGGAAGAAAATCATTCCCCACTACAGCTTGTGCTCCACTTCATATCTTTAGAAATACAAGAGTATAAATGGGCTGGGGATATAGCTTAGCAGTGCAGCATCTATCTAGCAAGCGCAAGGTCTTGAGTTCATTTCCTGGTAGCAAAGAAGAAAAAAAAACTAAAAGCCTCTTAAATGTGTGTTGTTTTATATATATCTATACCACTAAATTTATAATTTGCTGTAGCAGACATAGGAAACTAATAAAAAAGATGACACAAACTTTCATCTATTTAAAATCTATTAACTCACCAATTCCAAATTCTATTAAAAATAAGTTTCTAGTCATATATTTTAAAAAGTATATTGAATAGTGACAGGATTACTGAGAACCAGTATAAAATTTAACAAAAGCCATTTTATATTAAATTACTATTTAATTGTGTTCAATAACTGGGCATCTTCAACATGGTATAATTTGGTAAAAATTAAAGCTCAAACAAAACATTACTGTCACAGAACAAGTTATAGTAATCCTTCAAGTAACAAAAGCCAGGGTTGGTGGCATATGCCTGTAATTCCAGCTACTAGAGTATGAGGCAGTCAGTAGGACTAGCAAATTCAAGCCCAGCCTGGGTGACTCAGTAAGATCCTGTCTCAAAAATGAAAGGGGTGGGAACGTAGCTCAGTGGTAGAGTGCCCCTGGGCTCAATCCCTGGTACCCTCCACACACAGAAAAAAAGTATTTGAGTTAGACATTTTTTCCTCCCCATTTTACCAAACTTCAACCAATTTGTCATCCAGAAGTAATAGCACTGTTACAAAAATGAAATTGCTGAAGAAAATAAAGTGGAGGAAGAAACTTAACATTTTGAATTCCTATTACATGTAAACACCATATATATTTTTTCTCATTTGTATCTTAAAACAACTCTAGAATATAAAAAAAGTTAGCTAAATAAATTTTTTTAAATGGCTTTGAGGATGAGGAAGTCTGACTGAAAGTCATAGGTAGTGTCTTAGTTACTTTTTGTCACTGAGACAAATTATCTGATGTTCAAAGTTTGGAAAGGAAAGGTTTATTTTTTTATAGTTTTGGAGGTTTTAGTTTACACTCAGTTGGCTCCAAGGCAGGGTAGCATGGCGGGGCTGCAGTTTATGGTGGCAGCAAACAGCAAGGCAGAAACTCACAAGAGAGACAGACACACCTTTTTTTTTGCCATTGTATGCCGGCTCTACCCCTAGGTGAGTGTAGCACTAGCACCATCAATCTAAGTGCTAGACAATGAACCAATCACAAATGCACAATACAAACACATGAGGCCTGGGGGCCACCAACATAAACCATGACATTTTACCCTTGGCCCCCAGAACTCACGCACATTCTTTATATAAAAGACATTTAGTCTATCTCTAAGAGTTGTCAAAGTCTAAACAGTTAGCATTGTTGAAAAGTCTTAAGTCTTAAATCTTTTTTAAGATCTGTGGCAAACTCTTAACTATAATCCCCTGTATAAATGAAACAAGGTAAAACATTTTTGAAATATAAAGGCACAAGATAAACATTATCATTTTAGAAGTTATAAACGGGAATATAAAGCATCGGAAACAAAGCAAGTCTAACATCTAGCAGGGCAAACATTAAGTCTTAAGAGTTTTATGTTTACCATTTGAAGCAATTTGGTTGTAAGCTCTAAAAGGCTTGGGTGATTTCACTCCCATGGCACTTTTAGGGATTTTTAGCTCTCACAGCTCTTCTTAAACCCTCTCTGCTCGCTTTTTGTACTTTTTTTGGATGACCCACGTTTTTGGCTTTTTTAAACTTTTGGGGTCTCCACTGCACCTTTGGCTTTACCCTTACATCTTTATAAATTGTCTTCTCAGTGGCACACTGCTTGACCTCTCAGGCCCTTTGTAACTGAGATGGAAGCTGTTTTAACCTCAGAATTTGTGAATTTTTTTTTTTTTTTTTTTGGTACCTAAAATCAGCACCATATGGATGCTGCCAAGGTTTGCTGCCAGCTGGAGCAGTAGCCAGGCTTTTCTCTCTCTTGGCTGTAGGGGTTGACTGTTTGGATCGCTGTGCTCTGTGAACCTGATTGTGAAGAAAACCTTTTTTATGTTGCCGCCATTTTGGAACCTCATGTGGCCTCTGTCGCCATTTTGGAGCATGGTGCTCTGCAGCTTTTTCCTCTGAGCAAATTTTTTTACTTTTGCAATTTTGAGGCTGTAAAGGATGGATTCCCACTGCTTTTAGGGATGCCCCCCTGGTCATCTTTTTTATTGCTCTGTTTTTTTTTCCTTAGGAATCATTTATTTTTTAAGGAATTTTTTAAGCAATCAAAGTCTCTATTATCTACAGCTTTCTTAGAGTTTTGGGTTTTTGTGGTTTTTTTTTTTTTTTTTTGCCAAACTCACAGTATTGTAAATTATCCTGTTGGGCTCTTTTCTCTTGATTTGCAACATAAAGCTGGCTAAAAGCCCACAACAGCCATGCGACAGTCTCAACATTTGACTGCCTTGAAATTTCCTTTGTCAGATTAATCAGTCTACTGTCCTTAGTCTCAGTCTCAGGCAAAGTCTCTGGGCATAAGCAAAATGCAGACAAATTTTCTGCCAAGCCATAACATACACTGTGGAGAGTCCAACAAGCAGTGTAGTCCTTCTTCCCAACAGAAACCTCCCAAGCCTGGTCTTTACCATAAGGCTTTTTATCAGACTTTTGGTCTCCTGCCCTCTGACCAGAATCTCTTCTATAAAACAGCCTAAACTGCTCCAGCTCTATGCATCTAGGTGACATGTCCAAACCTTTTAAAACTCTAAGAGCCATTTTTAAAGCCTTTCAAAAAATAATGGTCAGGTATAGTAACAGCAAATGACCCCACTCCTGGTACCAATTTTTTTTTTTTAACTTTTTGTCAGTAC